CATAAAACTTTCGAGCACGATTTTCGTACTCAGACTCAGAAATCAACCAATCAAAATCATGGATTTAGTGTTTCGAGCACAAATTTTGTACTCCGAGTTCTGAGTAAAGTTTTGTGACCGAGAGCCCAGGAATGGAGATTTTTTTATGACGTTGACAAACACTGGGTAGCCTTGAAATTAATGAAAACGACACGTTATAAATTTCATGCGTGCGATGCGCTCTCGAGGATGCGCTTTTCTGGATTTACCTTCACCAATGATGTATAAGAATCGGTTGTTTGACGGAAAAAACATATAAGAGTATGTTTTCAACCGCGTTAAGATATAATGAGAATAAGAAATAGATAAGGCTTAAAGCTACAACTTATTAAAATTGCATTTATTGAATAAACAATTTGCTACTATACACTATTTTAATAGTAAAAGACAAAATGACACATCAACTAAGATTGGTTGTTCAATCATAAATTAAAATGCATTTTTCTGCACCGAATTTCTCATTCTGACTGAGTTTTCCAAGGTATTGGCCTTGAATGAAAATGGAGTTGTTATTCAACAAGTATGAAATATATATCATAACAAGATAGTACTGATCTGTTACAAAATGTGCTTTTTAATCCTTCCCATAGATTCATACAATAGAGAGAGAATAAAAAGAAGATATCAGCTTTCGTATTTACATCTAGACCGCGTCCCGTTTGGTACCCGGTCCATTTTCTACGTTGGACATGTTAAATGAACGACAAAAAGACTGTAATTCTATATCTTGCAGTAAAAAAAAGAAAGAAACGTGAATGAATGATTCATCTTTCTCAAATGTGTATAGATTTCTATCTCTTTACACCAACACACATATCCTCCATCTACAAATATAATATTTAAATCAAATAATTTTGAAAATTCAAATATATCTAAAATAATTTACATCGATTATCACGAATTCGTAGATCGTTATCAGGTGAAAGTTTAAAAGCTGATCACAGAAATATTTTCCCATTTGCCGAATAAGACCTTAATCGAATCCAAATATCTTCTTGATCACTATCGTCGTGAACATGCTTGAAATATTTGTCACTGAACGTAAAGCAACCAACAATCAATCAATCAATCAACCAATCTTGATCACGAGGAGAGATATTGTTTACCCTTTCGAAGCACCTCATATTAGTATTACTGTGACTTGACTGTTAGTGTTGCTCTCCACCTATAGCAATTTATTCAAAATTCTGACCAAATTACAATTTGTTTTATAAAACCAAACTGTTCAACTGGTCAGATATTTGAACAAACTGCTGTAGAAATCAACAGTCAAGTCGTGAAAGTGCAAGGTGATAAAATAAGGCATACTTACAATCCTATAAGACTTTAATTCCACTTCAATGATATTATGAAAAATTAGTCTAACAATTTGTATAGAAATTTTATTGTAATTGTGATGCTAAAGGTGAAAGGTAGTAATTTTGAATTGCTATAAAAGTGTCCAAACTAAGCTTTCATACAATTTTTCTTTCAAAAAGTCTTCTATATTCATAAGAATCAGACATCATTTGAATTGAAACATCTTATATTCAGTAAAATATATGTGAAATTACAATACGTTGTTAATATTAAGTTTCCATGGAGATAACCTAAAATCATTATTCTGTTAAATATAGAAGACTTTTCGAAAGAAAAATTGATTATCTCCCATGGAAACTTCCTAACACCGTATTGTAATTTCCAGCATATTTTACTGAATATAAGATGTTTTAATTCAAATGATGTCTGATTCTTATGAATATAGAAGACTTTTCAAAAGAAAAATTGTATGAAAGCTTAGTTTGGACATTCTTATAGCAATTCAAAATTACTACCTATCACCTTTAGCATCACAATTACAATAAAATTTCTATACAAATTGTTAGACTAATTTTTCATAATATCATTGAAGTGGAATTAGAGTCTTATAGGATTGTAAGTATGCTTTATTTGATCACCTTGCACTTTCACGACTTGACTGGTTTTCTTCAGCAGTTTGTTCAAATTTCTGACCAGTTGAACAGTTTGGATTTATAAAACAAATTGCAATTTGGTCAGAATTTTGAATAAGTTGCAATAGGCGGAGAGCAACACTTACAGTCAAGTCAAAGTAATATTTTTGAATGTTGTATAGTCATAAGAAATTCGAAGGCTTATGTATTTTACTTTTAATTTCTTGTATTTAAGGAAAAACTGTAAAAAAAAAAAATACCTGAATCATTTTGAGATCTTGTCATATATATTTAGAAATGTACAGCAGCCTTACCCCGAAATTGTCCTATACAAAGATGTTGATGTGGGTAAAACATTTTTGGGGTAAGGCTGTTTTTCATATTTAATTTTACCAAAAACTTAATAATTTTGACATGTTCATGGCGTTACATTGTCATCATTGAAGTGAAATTTTTGGCATGAAAGAGACCAACCTGTATTCGCCTATCCATTTATCCAGCATTCAGGGTGCGCACGACATTCGGTGCCAAATTTTTCAACAGATATTCATCATCTATAAACATGCTTCACAATCTGTACGTTTCTGTGAAGTAATTTGTTCGCTGTTAATTGTCTTTTCGTCGTTCTTCTTTTTGCAATGGTGGTGTCTTATATTTCTTAGACTTGTGTTTTATTTTTTTCCTTTGTATATTCTTCCTTCTTTTTACAACAGCACAATTTAATGGCTTTACGAGAAGATGTTAATAGAATAATTAGGTAAACTTCCAATATGAATAAAAGGAGATACTGGGTATACCTCAATGGTTGATACAGCAACACGAAGACAAAATAAACCGAAGGACGTTGTAAGCTTGAAACGGCTTCAATACGGCAAGGAATTCTTAAAGACATTTGTATTGAATATAAGTTAAGATGGATATATTATTAAGCCTATTTCTGAATATTCAAACTATCATGTATATTCAAAATGTACCTTGTTAGTGTTGGTCGATCGTTTAGATTTTGTTAATACCAAAACTGTCTTTGTTCTAGAGTTCAAAAATAAAATGACACAAAAGATGACACAATTAAATTCCACGAATTCCAAAATGAATGTACAGGCTTAGACTGTCCTCTGCATGTACGTCACCTGCCATACAATTCCAAACAATGTCCAGAAGTTCATGTTATATCAAATTATAGTAAACTTTTAGTAGAAAGTGATGTAAACAGATTCATTTTATAAGATTTATAAATGACCATTAATCTGCTTTGATTGAAGGAAATAAACAGGGGTCAATACAAATCAACATACGCATGATGGTTAAAACTATTTACTAATTTCTTAGTTCATTGCAATGATGTGACGGACGAGTCGATAAAAAATGGAATTTGACGATCCTATGGCATTGTAAACTGAGACTTCTCAAAACCATGTGTCAGAACATTTTGATTTTTTACTGTTATGAGATGAGAATTTGACATGGCCAAGCATGTCGTAGATTGCTACAACAAATATACTTCGTTAGAAATATTTGATCGGATTCGAATTTGGGATTTGCGTTTTGTACGAGCACTGTTTTTTTAAGTGACACATTCAGCTAAAGTTATCAAAACTAATCGGTGTGTCAAAACTTAAACTGTGTTACATAAACGATACACGCTTTGGTATCTTGGTATATCATTTCTTGTTTAACATGTACGGTATTTTGTTTTCACACTTTAGTCTCTAAACACATTTGATGAAGTTTTTTTCCGTGAAAACTGAGTTGTGTGCACTTAAATAATATTTCATACATTTGTTTACATGTTTATTCGGTTTCTATGCTTTGTTATGATAATGAAAATATAAACAACCGAATGAAATTCAAGCTGTGGTATTTACCTTTAACAAAAGCCAAGCATTCTAACACATGAAATTCGATTCGATTAGAAATGCAAATGCTCAACCTATTGACATTACTTCATTGTATTGCACCAAATAGTTCAACTTACGTGTTTATTTTTGTATTGACGTCACTTAAAAGTACATTTTAATCATTCATTATACACTCTAGATATTCGGCAATTGGTTGTAAATAATATCTCTATCTTTTAGCGTACCTAACCCAATACAATGGTTTTAATAAAATTCATTATGTGGTTATCCTCGCCATTCCACAGGTTATTCGGTCTTGCATTGTCCCTAGGATTTTTCATTTTCTTTGTCTAGGAATCAAAGTCGCTCAAATTTTCCCCAAATTTTTATTGTAACATAGTCTCTGCTGTACTCTACCGGTTTTTTTCTAGAATAGTTCTTTTTGTTACAGTCATTACTTTTTTAAATTATCTAAACATGAGTGTTCGAGTAAAGAGGATAAAAACGTGTTACGAAAACAATAAAATTTAATATTAAATTTCAGTATATGTAATTTTATATAGTCAAATATCTTAAGTTTAGTAATTCTTTCACTTCCAAAGCATATATACGTTAACTATTTTTAGAGAAGGAAAGTACGTTGAACGAAATTTATGTAATACAATATCTGATTTTTTTAATTTTATCTTTAGGTATCTTGGTTTGAGATATTTCTTATATCTATCAGTTATAACATTCAGCTATCACTAAATACTTGTTTTAGAATCAACATCTTAATGAACATATATATCATAGAATAAGGTGATTATATATTTGTATATGATTTTCAATATAATTGTTTGTGTCTCTCAATCACAAAAAATCACTGTAGTAAATTTCTTTGCTCATCATGGGCCTTTTAATTAGAATAAAAATGCCTTATTCACATAATTCATAATATCTTTGTAGCCAAAGAAAGACAACGAAGGTAAAAAATATTAACTCTACAGAAAGTCATGTTTTGGGGTCGTTACCACAGAACATGTATTTATTAGTCCTTGTTGTCACATCACTTCGTGTTCTAATCATATAAGTAGGTTCTCAAAACAGAACGACAAACTGTCATTTGGTCCCTGCTGGAGAGTTGTTTCATTGAAAGCGATGGTTTAACATGAGATATGTTCTACATGCTAATTCGTCATTTTTCTTCCAGGTACACATACAGAATGCCACACTAGCAGGTGGAGTGGCAGTCGGTACTGCAGCACATATGCCTCTTAACCCCTGGGGAGCTATGCTTCTCGGTGCAGTTTCTGCTGTCATTTCTACCATCGGTTTTAAGTATATTACCGTAAGTTTGTTTTTAATACTTCTAATTTGCTGTAATCAATTGTATAAAATAAAGTACCTGTTATTTCGCCGTTTCAAAATCTGATGCATTCTGGATATTATTTTCAAAAGCGTACACCAAATCGTGTTGATTTGGTAAGAACGTTCTATACAATGGAAATTCAACCAATGACATGCCGTTATTTTTACGTTGGTGTACGAACAATGAAATTACCCAAAGTCTTTTAGATTCTGAAACTGCGAATAAAGTACCCGTTATTAGTAGTTAATTGTGGAAAAAGCTTTTCTCCAACAATGATTCAGAGAGTAAAAATTATAGTTATTTGTATTACGTTCTATGTTTGATTTTAACTTCATCAGGTATTTTCAGAAACAAAAACATTTAAAATATATTCTTTATGGTCTTTATATTGTTTGACCTTATTCTCTATTCTTTATATTTTGGCCCAACTTTTCTCTATTCTTTATTTTTTTTCGCCATTTATTCTGGACATTTGGCCCATTATTTTCTATTCTGTAAACCCCATCCAGACCCTCATGAAATAAGTGATATTCAAAATATCAAAATTTTAACAGAATGTTCCTCATTATGGTAATATTTCTTTTCAAAATTTATATAAAAGGTTATCAACAACTGTTTTATGATACAGACCAAATAATAAAGTTGTAAATGTGACCGTAAGTCAGATTTAGATTTTTTTTTTTTTAAGAATGGTGTTTATCCTTAAGTCTGGCTGTCTTTCTGCAACATCTTGATATCTAGTCACTTTCTATATAAATTTTTTATCCTATCATTCATATCCTGCAATGACAAAACTGAGGGCGAATTAGTTTTTAGTTTAGGATTTTGGATTTTGAATGGTTAGGTTTAAAACTGGTTTCGGGTTCTGATAATGGTTTGTTGAACTGTTAAACCACACGAGGAGGTTTATGGCACTTGTTCCTGGAGTTTTCAAGAAACAAATGTGAAACCAGTTTGGTTGCGATCTAGATTTGGAACAAGTTTGACAGAACAAATAGTAGGTTTACAAAGCCTACCAGAAACTGAAACAACTTTAGACGCAACAAATGCGCCCTTTATTTTAGATTCGGTATCGTATAAGTATACATATGGAATGAGTCAACAATATCTTTCTGGCACTGGCTACGATTACGTTGAAATAATAAAAAAAGTTATTGTTACGTTGGACACTAATTGCCGATATGATTTGTTGGGTAAGGAACCGATTAATTACGAACGTAACAGTCACATTTGTTTCTACGGTTACGTTGCGTTATTGTTACGTTAGATTTATTAAACTTTTAACCTACTATAGTTTTGTTGCTTAATTCTTCTTCTGAAATGATATTAAAGGACAACATTAAAACAACCTCCAACAAAAATTTTGGACGAAAATATAAACATTTATTTATAAAAAATATTTTTCACCTGAAGCATGGCAGACATTGAAAGTGGCTATAACTTAAAAAGGGATATTGCAGAGTGGAACTGTTTTACTTTAGTCTTCAAAACCGACGTGCACATTGCTGCATCACTCGTTTGTGATGGCTGTCAAGAGTAGTTTCACTAAAAATGCGTCGGACTAAAACATACTCCTAAAACCACATACTAGTACTGGATGTATTTAAGCTGCCATGGTACATAAAAAATGTATGCAATATTGTAGAATTGCAGAGTTTTCAAGTTGTATCTTAATACATACTACTAGTCCAGGTATACATTGAAGTGCATTAACGTAACAATAACTCAACGTAACCCATACCCAAGAATGAAGGACACTAATGGCCGATTACCCTTATCAGCGACACCCGGTGTGCAATGTTTTTAATGATGTTCGATTAACATAGAAAGTAATGGGAAAATAAATGGGTACCCTTCATTAAGTCTTCATATTATTTTTATTAATCATCTGAATTCTTATTAACACATACGACCGAATTCTACATAGATTTACCTTTCTGGTGGTATTAAAAAATCCAGTTTATCTTATCTCATTGTTAGGTCTTCGATTTTTTGAAATTTCATTATCTAAATTCCCTTACTCACATCAGTAAATATCGATGAATTACCTCAAAAGAAACGAGACAGCAATAACTAAAAAAATTGAAGCACACTTATTATGCGGAGGAAATACTATTAACACATACTGTTGAATACTCCTGTCAATAAGCTACATTTTGATGTCAGAAAAGTCAGTTTAAATTAAGAAATTCTTAGGTCTCCGGCGTTTTGAAAAGTTGTCTTTGAAAAAGATAACCAACACAAATACACGAAAACAACGTACATTAGCGAGATTATACTGTTATACATGTAAAATAAATTCTGGTTATTCTTAAATAAATGAAATAATACATAATAAGTTCAAATTCAAAGTGTTCACTGTGGCTATTTTTTATTGTTCAAATAAAACGATAAATATTGAATACAAAATAAAATTATATTTAATTATATTAAATTGTATTCGTCGGGATAGCTCATCTGTTCAAAGGACATAATGGAGTTTTACTATAAGGGTTCTTGTTCATCATAGTTCATAGTTCGTATAATTTCATAAAATAGAGACTATAAAGATATTTTTTATTCATATTTGGTGAAACGTATTTAATGATAAATGATAAAGTATACATTTACATTTAAATAATAATAAACTATTCGCTGTTTAATAATTTTTTTTTTTCACCCGTAAAACATTTTTTCATCATTTGTATTTCGATAATATTTAAAGAAAATGAAAAGGTGGTATATCAAAAAAGTTCGAAATTGATATATTGTCAAAAAGAATTTTATTATCAGCATGCACCCTGTCGCTTGATTGTCTTTCCTATCTCCAATTACGATGTCTTATATATGCTCAACAGGATGCCACTGTTTGTTTTATTAAATTGAATCTGATACAATACAACTTGTGTTAATTGGTGACATATGTAAATGAATGTAAATTTACATTCACGGTTTGTTGTGGAAGTATCATCCTGTAATGACATTACATCAATGTGGTGGAACTATTAAAACAAATTTGAGAACTCGAAAACTAATGCAAAAAATATTTAAAATAACTCTTTTTAAGGGAATCGTGTTCCTCGCTCTTTAGTTTGACCATGGAAGTAAATTGATTAGTGTTATCTATGTATAGATAGTTTAATTTGCAGCTTTTATTTTTTTATTTCTTCTTTTAATTTGTCATTTTCTATATATATTTTTTTTTAATTACTTAATGGTGCAATACAAAACACATGTAAGTTGTCTCTCGGTCATTTTAGAAATACACTGTTCAAAATGTTCTTGTGTGAAAAAATGTAACGCTTACAACACTTTGAATGTTGTTTCTGTTATAATGATGAATGTGTTGCCATTGTAAATGAATATTAAAAAGCCGATTGCTGAAGACCTGGTGACAAGTTTTAATCTTATGCACAGCAAAAGAGGCCCTTCTTCGTTGATATGTTGGGTTTTCCTTGTATTTCAAAACACCCTTTGTCTGGTGCATATGCCACGACTCATAAAAACTAACTTATATTTATTAATTTAGTTTTGTCCGACGAATTTGTGTCCCTGATTTTTTTTTAATTTAAATTTTCGATCTTTCTTGCTGTTTGGAAAATAATCTCAAACAAGAAAAATGTTTCCCAAGTTTTTATAATCAATTGTTCATGAACAATGTAAATTGCTTTTTTTTAAAGGCGATTTATTTAGGGGGGGGGGGGGGTAAAAATTGCTGCAAGTTTTGTTTATTTGACATCGATTTTACATATATCTGTATTGGTCAATCAATTTTTCCCAAATTAAGTTAAGAGGGGGTGGGGGTCAGTGAAAAAAACTACGTGAATTAAGTTTGTTTATCCTACATTGAACTTTTGATGTCGTCCCTTATTGTCCTGTGAATTTTTATCCGTGACATAATTCAGGCAAATTTTAAACCTTTCTTGCACTGTTGAAAATAAGGACAGAGGGACATCAGATATAAATACTGTTAGTATTAAATCGCACTGATAGCCGTTAGAAAATTTAAGATGGGTAAAAAAGGGAGACCCACTATAAAAGCGCTTGCGACCCAACTCGCTTCATGATGATGTCTTTAGTTATTACAATTGATAAATCTTCACTTATCAATCAGAGAGAGAGCTCTACTTATCAATATCAATAAAAATATATTTTAACTGTTGAATGACTTATTCTTCAATTATTTAGTCTAAGAATTTATATCTTTAATTTTCACCAATTGTCTAAATTTGATTTATTGAACCTTTGTGTCTGCTTACGCCTTACCTAACTAAAGATGGTTGAGATATGTTTAGCCTTTTTTACATAAAACATTTAAAAAGTGAAAAACATCTAGCTTGTAAGTTATTTCTTCAAAGACATAGATATAGCATCAGTTTAAAGCAAACTTATTTGTCCAAGGCATAAATGAATGATTGTACTGAAATGAATGAATGTATATACCTTTTGTTAGAAAGCAGGACAAACTTGTGTTTGCTGGTGTTAATATGTTTATAAAAAATACAGCTGATATTATGCCATATAATTATTTCATTACTAATTGTGATTAAACTGCAATAAGCTACGGTTCGGTACCAATTTTGTCGTCAGCTCTGTTGCATAAGGACAAATAAAAATATTAAATTTCTTGGTAACAAGGATGTCATATAACCTCCTAAATTGTATTTTTTAAGATATATGAACATCAAAACTCATGAGATACTTTTATGACTGTTTGTTAAAAAAAATATCATTCAAGATCTATTAACAAAAATTATGGATTTTTTCCCTAATTTTTCAAAATAATTTCCCCTTCGTACATTGATTTATAATCTCGACGAGGTTTTGATCTCAATATCATATTCCTTTTAAAGACCACTAACTCCAGTATCGTAATTTATAATTCCCGTGAAGACGCTAATTAATTTTTATCAGAGACATGTCTCTGTTGTATTTAACAAGATTAGTAAATGCAACGACATCTATTGGAAGGAGTTAAGAGTTATCGTTAATTATCTACTGTCCAAAATAAACAGATTGGGTTATCTCGCTTGGAAATGTTACATATTCTTGCACATGCGTAGACACAAATAATTTTTTTACATTCGTAATAAATCGGTTCCTAACCCAACCTAGCATTCCGGCAATTAGTGTCCATCGTAACAATAACTTTTTTATTATTGTTACATTTCAACGTAATTGTAGATAGTGCCTATTTTCTCGTATTTTAATATCCGTTCGAGGTCACCGCCAATTAACATGTGTACTCATAATAAAACACACATTAACGTTTAACGGTCATGGTCACGACTATCATCTAGTCTTGACCAGTATTATATAAAAAGCCTCAAAGTATGGCGAAATATGTGCGTATTTGTGAAGGCTACATGGGCTACTTGTTTAAGTTGTTATTGCACTCATTTTATAGTCGCAAATATCAGTTATCCGACTGTGACTGCGCTAACGCGAACTCGGAAAATTAATTTTGTGAACGTAAACCACCAAACCGACGAACAAGCAATCTCAAAGGCGTCTGTAAACCTAAAATTAACAGCTCTATAATCTTATAGGCGTTTTTAGTATTGATAATGATTTTAGCAAGCAGTAAAAATTGTCGTATATATTTATTTACAGCCATGTCTAGCTAGCAAAATTAAGCTTCATGACACCTGTGGTGTTCATAACCTCCATGGCTTGCCTGGAATTCTGGCTGCAGTAGCAGGTGCTGTTATGGCAGCTCTCTCATCTAAAGAGGAATGGGGAACCAGGTAAGGAGTTATTTTAGATTTATGGAAATGTTAGAAACATTGATATGTTTGGATATATTTTCATAATCAGTGAAGGATGTTTAATAAATGCATCGGTGTTATCTACAATGTCATACAATAAAGAGCAAGAAGAATTCCAAATATTGAACCCTGAGGCACACCAGCCTTAACAATGTCCAACTAGTTGTGTGAGTTCTTGAATGATACGTTTTTTACAGCACTTGGTTGATACCTCTGTTGGTGGATTATCAGTCCCCGAGGGAATCATCAGCTCAGCAATCAGCACTTCGGTACTGACTTGATTTGTAACAAACCTTTCTAAAATTGTCCGATTATAAAGTTAGAAATTATTTAGAGACTAAGGTTTCAACCATCTCAGGCAAAGTTGACCTTAGATGGATTTTGCTATTATTTTCATGTCCTTTTTGGTCATAAAGCTCATCAACTGTTTGTGTTCTTATACATCTTTGGCTTTCAAAATATTCGGTTTTGAGCGTTCCTGATGAAAGGAAAATCCAGAAAAGCGCTTCGGACGCATGTAATTTTTAAAATGTTGTTTTATTTTTTTTTACTTACAAACCAATCTACTGGTTGTGTTTTGCATTAATGAATACCGTTTCCCAAAACTGTGCAGTTTTTCCAAGGAATGTTCATTTTGACATGTCAGAAGATTTAATAAATTTTACTCAACGCCCCGATCCATATAACCTTTAACGAACTCTTTTCAGATTGTTCTTTGTTTGATTTGCTGTAACCTGACCTAACCTATAAATTATTTAATGTTGCACCTCTTTGTTTTAACACACCATGACTCGTGAGAGCTTCGTTTTAGCCTAGTTCTAATTTCTTCACTGAAAGAAAGTTCTCACTGTGGTTAGACTTATTTTCCTCTTTTTGAAAATAAATATCTACAAATTTAAAAAAGCAAAATCCGAGCACAATTACAACAAATCTTAATGGGTAGAACTAAAAGGGAAGTTATATAAAGTATAAGTAATTTGAGGCAGTATCATTTCATTTTACGACATGCGGATGATCGTAATTATGTACATATGTCTTGTTCTAGCTGTATGTAGTCTTAGATATTAATACTAACGACACATTTTGTCTATTTAATCAGAGAGGTTTCTGGAAATTTCAGATAATGGCAAAACTATTCTGAAACTATTGTCTCGTGCATATCATATCTAAAACAGAAAATTTACTAAAAATAAAACTATCTCACGCCCTCGATTGATTTATTAATTCATATAACCAAAAAGTCCAAAAAGGCCGTGTCTTCCAATAGAATTCTGTTTTAAACTAGAAATACATTCTTTCTATACTAGCACAAGGATTTGTATAGTGAGATCCCACTATACAAATCCTTGACTAGTGGTAACACGATTGATATTCTGTAATAATATAAATCTATATACTTTCTTCAAACAGTCTCTATGAGATTTTCCCTGAGATGGCTGCATCAAACTCTACAGGAAGTGTGATGCCGGGTTCAGACCGATCAGCTACAGTACAAGGTGGATACCAGATGCTTGCCTTAGTTATCACCATAGCTATTGCCATTGTTGGCGGAATAATTACTGGTAAGCTATATTTTCATTACGATATCACTTATTTCTTCTTTCAATTAAACGCCTTCGGGATTTATGTATCCAAAAAAAAAATACCAGACCCTACCTGGTATACGGACAAAATTAACAAATGAGTAACTAATTCTCTGTGACTGCTATATGCATATATCGATAACAAGCAAATGGTATGTATTACAAAGAACATATAAACCAATATAAAAAAACAACATTGTTTAGTTATGCAATAAATATGGGACATAAATGAAGCCAAGGATTTGTATAGTTTTGTCTTACTATACAAATCCTTGATGAAGCAGAGCACGACAAAAACATTGAATAAAATTGAGAATGGAAACGAAGATTTTGTCAAAGAGACAACAACCCGACCAAAAGGCCACCAATGGGTCTTCAACACAGCGAGAAAATCCTGCACGGGGAGCGGGCTTCAGCTGGCCCCTAAACAAAAATGTGTGCTAGTTCTGCGAAAATGGACTTCACACTAAACTCCAAAACATATAGAAGAACCAAAATTAAAAAACCTACAAGATTAGCAAAGGCCAGAGGCTCCTGACTTGGGACAGGCGCAAAAATAAAGTTCAGATTTTGTTGAAAGTCTGTCACTAAGTTATACCGTTTACTTAGACCCTTATTTTTCAATATAGAGCTATTTGCCATCATTTTTAGGTTTTTTTTTACGCAAATCAGTATATATAATTAAGTTTGTGTTCAATAATATACACTTTTAAAAACAAAAAGACTGAAAAGGGTATTCTAAGAAGAAAACAACTAGACTAAAATTATATGTGCAACCAAAAATCCGCTGACATTATATATTTTGGTTTATACTTTATTAACATATTGTCATCAGGGTTTATAATGAAGCTACCAATTTGGGACAGTCCTGAAGGAGAAAAGTTCTTTGATGATAATCATAATTGGAACGTTGCAGAAGAAGGCTTCCCTGGACTTCCGAAATCAAAGTATGAAAGTGGGAAAAGTAATGACGATACTCAAATGTAAGGAATTTAACAGTGGATTTAAACGTCAGACTTAATACTTTTGACTTTATACTCCAAACTTTATTCCTTAGGCTTTATACGCCAGATTTTATTAAAGTGCATAATATTGATATACATATACTCAAATCCAATTTCAAAGTCGCATCTATGTTTCAGAAAAAATTTACTTATAATGTATACGCATTTATATTTTTATATTCGATTTTATATTTTTTTATATTTGTATTTTTATGAAGAGATAATTTATATCCTTTTTTACCTCTTATATGTTTGTACAAATTAATTTACATGTATATTTATTTATGATAATGAAATCCATCACCAGAATTGAGTTTGTATTTCTTTTCAGCAATCTTATGTCAGATGAAACGAAATTCAGCTGAGAGCATCAAAGACAAATATATAATAAGTACACCTATTTTATCTTTACTTTGCTAGGTCGTTGATGCATGGACTTGGGCATGTTTTTATTTGTTTTTTGCTTTATTATATTGATATTGCACGTATTTTGTTTCTTCAATTTTTCTTAATCTACTTGTGTAAAATAACAGTTTTTTTAATGTTCTAATGGTGAATTATTTTTATAAGAATATTCTTTCTTCTTGCAACGTAAGCAATTACATTTTTTTAAATGAATCTTATCTCTACGGAAGCCGGTTAATATCAGGGTGTAATTTTATTTTTAAGTCGTTATAAAGACTTAGATAACTCGTTATAACAACTTAGCTAACTCGATAATGGACATGGAATCAGTCTAAAGTAGATCCAACTGTAACACCTTCACAAAGATAGTGAGACGTAGTCCAAATAATTATGACATCTTGAAAGGCTATTTTAATTTTTTGCTGTGACGAGTAGAAACAAAAAGCTTGATATAACTCTTAATTTCATGGTTGTGGCATTAAAAATGTAGATTTAAGAATTAATTGAATGCTTCTTTTTATAATGTTATAAGGTTGTAAAAGCGTTGACCGTGCACGCATTTCTAAAATGAAGCGCAGCGCTTCATACAAAATGTGGGCCGGTTATATAAGAAGAACTCAATTCTTAAATAATCATTTGGACTAGGTATATCTAACTTTGAAATTCACAGTAAAAATTTGTATAGCAAAATTGTGCAATGAAAATTTGTAACAGCCTAAAAAAAAAACCAAAAAAAAAACAAACCATGGTCTTTCCACAAGGTTTGTACAAACAGGGTTAAAAGTTTGTCTTACCTAGGAGGTTTTTTTTTATCCTTTTTAACAAATTCCTGATACAAAGTCGGTTGTTTAAAAATGAACTATTGTTAGTTGAAAATGTGTATGACATAAGCAAACTGTATGTGTGTGTGTGTGTGTGTGTAAATAAAAAGAAAAGTTATATTCTACTTGTAATAATATACCTTTTTACACAATTATTTGTATTTTTTTTTTGCATTATTACATATAATATATCATGAAATATATGTATTTATGTTATATACATATAGGAATATTATCTTTTTTTATATAATTTACTGTTACGTAAGTTGCACTGATAAAAAAAATGAAATATGTATTAGTAGTTGTTGGCTTTATAATGCTACCCACTTGACACAATTTGCTATGCAGATAATATTGCAGTCAAAAGTCGGTACAACAGTAGAAAAAAGGAAGCACCAAATCTAAATTCACACATTTTATCTTTTAGATTTCATAGCGTATATCAATTTCTCCTGAATCATTAATATGTTTTCGATTATACAAAATGGTTAAAATTATATCACCATTGCGAGACATTATTTAGAAAATAAAGTGCCGAAAATTATAACTTTCCCGAATCAGATTGCAACATGAACACCAAGTCTCATTGTTTCACATAGTAAAAGAAAATATGAACATATGTATGGACATATACCGATACATGTAAATCAAGCAAGATATACCTGCCCATTAAGGACCCAAAAAGTGTCTCATTCCGTGGTTATTCCTAGTTTTTTTGATGTTTTTCTATCTATGACTTTCTTATAACTACATAAACAAGTTGTATGTATTGTCGCAAATTTTCTTACATCCCTTTCACCTACATATGCCCTAATATTATTGATCATGCTTTTTGACTTTTCATCTTACTCTGCATTAACAGATCTTTGATTAAATCACTTTGGCAGAATTCAAAATGTATTCACAATAAGATAATAGATGAACATTAGAAAGCATATTAAATAATACACAGCTCCTTGATAGTTTATTATTATATATCTTGGTATTCACTTTCTTAGCATTGATGTAGTTTTCCTTATGAAAGAAAAAAATGTTAAGTCATTATTATTTTGATTGCAGATTTCGGTACATTGTTGCTATGAAATTCTTCAGTTATTTAGTTATCAAAGCTATATACAATTACATTTTGAAAAATTAAAAAGACTTGAACCTCTCCTCCCCCTCCCCTATAAAAAAAACCAATATGACATAGCAACTATAGTAGATGAACATACATGTGAAAAATTGAGACAAAAATGAAATTTTATTTAGACAATCGAAGCTAGCTAAAATGACCATATTTCTGTTATTTTGAAGAATCTAGTAAAATAACTTGTCAGGGTGTTTTGAATCTATGTATACTTCATAAAAATGCAAAAATCTCATTTTGTCTCTGGATAGGCGATAAGTCTATAATTCGGTGATGTCACATTCGAAGAAAAGAGGACGACAATTGGAACATATTCGTCATCATCTGTGAAACATAAAGTCTACAACGTTAAACCAACTCGTGATGGCGTCCGTAAAATTTCTCGAAGGATTATTCAACGACTTTACATTCAACTTCACCATTTGGAATCCTTCAAGTTGGTTTAATAGCTTCCTTGTAAGCAGCAACCGTAATTTAATCAAGTCATAATATGAAATGCAAGCTCTGGAATATCGTTTCAACTGGGAGATATATACTCCAAATGCAGGCGCTGCCATTACAGGACTGTATAAGACTTTGAGCTGAAAAAAAACTCAGTGTTCTCCTTCCTGATATGGTCCGGAAGACTGTTACAAAAATGTAAACAGTGAAAATTAGCATAGAATACGTTTTATCCTGCAATCCACCAACTATTGTACAAATAAAAGGTACACAAATAATTGTTGGCTTTGTACCAAGTACAAATAAAGTCTTTTGTTACCCCGCTTCCATGTTGACCAAGTGGTAATATGAATATTTCTTTTTGTGTAACAGTTCATTTTTGGTTCCTCTTAGCGGCCCGCGTTTAAACTATGCTGATTTCTATGAAAAATCAGACTCATATATTTGGATATAATTACATTACATGTATAATTCATTATAATACGTTATTTTGATTATATATATATAGCTAAGAGCAATTTCGCGTCATTCTGAAATTAACATTCATTTCAAAACGAAATGTAACATTCATGATGACACGAGCTTTCACAATAAAGTGCACAGGTAAATAAAAGAAAAACTTGACAGAAATCGTGTTTTCGTGATCCTAGCAAAAAAATGTAATTATAAGTATTGAATGTTTCTTTTAGTAATTTTATAAGGTCGTAAAAGCGTTGACCGTGCGCTATACAAAATGTACTTCGGTCAACGCTTTTACACCCCAATAAATTTACAAAAAGAAGCATTTAATTCTTAAGTAAACAACTTAAGTCTCAAGTGCCGGGTAAAAATTGCAGGATAAAATCAATATATGTACATTATCGGATATATGAAATGTATTTGATATATATCATGTATATACATATAAATTGCCTAACAATGTAATTTTAACACACTATTAGTATGTAAATATGAAAATGTTAAAAATATTAACAATGCGATAAAAAATAAACGCAATATTTCGCTAGACAAACTTTATGTTTCTTTGAGCATCTTCGCTCAAAGAAATATCCTTTTGATAATGTTACTTTTCAAATCATAGAAGTGAACACTGAGTACACCACGGCGAGAAGGAGAAGAGAAACTTTTGGATCCACCAGCTCCATACTTTATAACTTGATGGTCTAAATGAAAGACGAGAAAAGATGCAGGAACGAAAACGAACAATTAATTATGTAGCATCGTTCTTAACATTTCTATAATATTGGCCAATGGACGTTGTAAACTTACTTAAACAATAAATAATCTTGAACTTTATTCAAATTTTAAATTTATTTATCAAGCAGCAAACATTCAATGTACAATGAGCTGCAAAAGTTTCTTATCTGCATCCGATTTCACCTGCATAATAGATGCACGCTCAAAGAAGCTAGTTTGTCAAGGAACTTATATATATATTTTTATCGAGCCTAGGTGGTCGAGGGGTCTAGCGCGCCAGGCATAGTGCAAGGCGATTTGGTGCCACGATATCTCAGTAGCATGTGTTCGAATCCCGGCCAGGGAAGAACAAAAATTTGCTTCCGCAAATTTACAGATCTAACATTGTTGGGCTGTTATTTAGACGAATTATATATATATATATATATATACTCCACCGGGTCTGTGTACACTATATTTTGCAATGTAACTTGCAAAACCCAGAATGTTGTATACCTTCTTCAGTGTCGATGTGGCATGCAGTATGTTGGCGAGACAGAGCAGCCATTCAACACTGAAACGCATGAATGGTCATCGAAGTGACTACACCTGCAAGCCAGACCTCCCCGTAAGTCGTCATTTGAGATCACCTGGGCACGCCAAAGCTGATCTCAAAAACCTTACCATCACTATCATAGACCACAACGAGGGTTGGTCAAGGGCCGACAGACTTGCTCGGGAAAGGTTTTGGATAAGAAAGCTTAGGACAGTTTCCCCAGAGGGCATAGATAAAAAAAAGCAAAAATAGAATGTGTCACTCGTTTTCCCTACCATCATTTGTTTCCAGTAACCCAGGCTTCCGTTTTGGACTCTTACAGTTTTAAGAAATGTATTCCTCCTCTCAAACATCAATATTGAAAAAAAATACCAGCGTATTGATTATTGATAATTTGTATAGCATTCAAGATTTTTATTTCAGTTTGACTATACCACATTTCAAGATAAGATTCATTTTACATCTTACTGATGAAGGATATTAGTTATCCGAAATATCTAAAATTTGTTCATGATTTAATTATTTTTTGGTGATGTTGTACCCTTTTAGACTTATTATATATAATATTTTGTAGTGTACTGTATCATAATTTTATGATCCATCGACCCGTAAGATTTATCGTTGGCTATTATTCAGTCATTTAATATATATATATAAATATATATATATCGCAAATTGAACAACCTGTCAAACGATGTGTTCTAGATCATCTATCTTCGGCGTCCGTCTGTTATACACGCCGAAAGGGTTTCCGTCTCTTACTGTTAAATTTATGCTTGCATAGTTATCATTGACATTTCTTCCCGATTCTTAACCCGTTTATCTCAAGAATTTATGTGGTATCAATATTCACTGTGCACATTTTAATTTTTTTTACCGTAATTTTATTGGCATTTGTCTGTGATAAAGTCAATTAAGTAAGGGGACGACCATTTAATATTCTGAGGAGGGGGCCTTGGGGATTTTTTTTGCGGATTGACTATTCATTTTCATCTGTTGTTACGCATGCTTATTTTTTTACCGTCGGCATTCAATTTATTTTCACTTTTGTACACAATTATTTCTTGCATTTTGTGTTGTAGAACATTCCTTTTCGTCCTGCCTTGGGCAAAATTATCTATGGTGATTGAGTTTATAGAACATTCCTTTTCGTCCTGCCTTGGGCAAAATTATCTATGGTGATTGAGTTTATAGAACATTCCTTTTCGTCCTGCCTTGGGCAAAATTATCTATGGTGATTGAGTTTATAGAACATTCCTTTTCGTCCTGCCTTGGCCAAAATTATCTATGGTGATTGACTGAGTTTATAGAACATTCCTTTTCGTCCTGCCTTGGCCAAAAATATCTATGGCGATTATTGAGTTTATTTATCTATTTACACTGAGCTCTCAGCAGGATATTCATGCATTTTTAAAATCCAGTCCTTCTGTCTCCATCCCCACCCGAAAGTCAAGTGGTCGTCCCCCAAAGGTATATATAGTGTATTTTTTATGGGTGTGTGTTATTATGGATTAATTTGGTAATTGATAAAACAACATTATTTACTGAACAAATTCGCTACAATGTCCGGTAGCCGTCATCGGTAAAAATCATGCAACCAAATTCCGTATTTATAGAGTTGTTCGGCATCGAGTTGGGACATTAGAAAATATACTTCCTGTTTCAACTTTCGTTTTATCTTCAGTTGAGAACTGGTTAGTAATTTAAATCATACTATTTCTTACTAGATAAGTAAATTACCATACAAATCATTGTGTACATCATTGTACAGCGGCGGATCCAGAATTTTTCATAAGTGGGGGCCCACTGACTGCAATAACATATAATTGTAAACAGCAATAAATATTTAGTTTCATTGAAAATGATGTTGTTTATAAGAGTGTGCGTTATACACCCATGCTTTTAAAATTTTGTTCACTTTACTTGTTGACAATTAAAACATTTACAAATAGACACGACTCTAGAGGTGTGCCTCTCTGGAGGTGTGCATAGATTGGCAGAAGTTATAAAATACAGATAATGCATTTTTGTGAACATTGTATAGGAACATTGTTTAGCAAAACAAATCGTGCATATTGCAGATTAACAAAGCAAATAAACATGTATTAATAATTGATATTTCAATATTGAATTTCAGTGTGCAATATATGCATAATAAAAAGAACATGAATTAATGACAGTTGATCGGAACTGAAATACACATAGTTAATTTTCCGGCATTTGATGTCTGATCCTGAGATGAGAAAAGTCTGTAATTCTTTATCTCATTTAAGCCAATAGCTGTTGCTGTATCTCAGCCGCATCATAAAGCAACCAATCAGAATATATATGTGATAAGTAATTATTTCAAGATGGTGTGTATATCGACTGAAACTAATTAAGCTCCGCACCGTGATGCAAAGCAAAAATTGCATGATAATCAACACACAACAGTAAATTACAAAATTTTAAATTTTCATAATTCAAGTTATTCTTGGCAAATTTTGGCTATGTAAGTTGTTTTAGAAACTTATGTAAATATATTTTTTATGTCAATTAATTACTTATCATTATCAGAGACACACAAAACCAGAGTACATAACATATGTATGATATTATAAGATGTTATAATATTGAATTTTGATTTTTACATTAGAAACCAAATAAAACATAAACAAAAATTCAGTTGAAGAACATCTTTTTCAAAATGTCATACAAATAAAATGCTTTTTCATATTTATGCATTCAAAATTTTGTTGTGAATTACGAAATTTAATAAAAAAAAATTATATAGCCATTTAGAATTGCCTCCACATACAAAGACATGGCGATTTATCTTTTTTTTTCAGATAAGAATGGATACCAGCCAGTTCATCACATTTTTCAAGAAACAATTGAAACCACCTTTGTTAGATATTTACAGACAGTATGAAAATTTAGTGGAAGCCAAGACTCCACCATTTAATATACCACAGGGAGAAACTCCTAAGCATAAGTTTGTACATGGGAAAATTTTTGAAGACTGCATCAACCAAGCTGCTATTAATTGCAAGGAAGATAGAAAATTAATTGAAGAATTCAAATCTTTATATGAAGAATTTTGTAAAAAGCCTAGAAATGTTGTAGAGTATTTTGCTGGTATGAAACATGCAGGATCAGTTGCATGGAATATTGTTCGTTACATGCAATTACAGCATGTGTCCTTCACCTTTGGTCATAAAATAAAAAACGAACATTTTACAATGCTTAGACCTAATCTTCTTATAGACTTCATGCAGCCAACATTGATATATGATTTTAAACTTTCAACAGCTAAATCTCAAGAAGAATATGAACAGAAATATCTTGTGAGTGGACTAATTCAGGTTTTGATTTATTATATATGTATGGGTTTATCTCCAGAAAATGCTAAGCTTGGTGTTTTGGTATTTTATAGTAGCTTAAATAAAGTTGTATTTTATACTTCAAATGTTCATAAAGATGGCTTCTGTGTAAAGCTCTTAAAGGATAAGATGCATGAAAATAAACATTTAAATGACAGTGATACAGATACAATGCCAGATTTAGAGCCAATAACAACAGAAATAGAAGATTTGGATACAATGCCAAAACTGGAATTATTAACTCTTTAATATGTCGAAGTTAACATATACCACTATAAAATATATATAGATTGTGCAAGAATCCATAAAACAATGTTTTTATTTCATGATTGTGTTTGTTTATTTTTATATAAGGTTCATTCTTAGGAATATATTATATTTCACCACTAAAATCATCTCAAACCAATATTATATGTGAAGTAAAAGATATATTTTCATAGAAATGGGTTCAGCATGACCTTTAAACTTAAATAAGTGACTGTCTCGAGTGTACTTGTTGAAATTTTCAAAGAAACAAGTGTAAGGCACACTTAATTTGGTATCATCATTAACTGGGGCAAGTTAAACACTGTTTCCACACAGTGGGATAAGATCTGCTGCTTATTAACTGACTTGTTGAAAAGAACATCTGCTTGGTAATGCTTAGTGCATTAGAATTGGCATGGTTTGGATCTTCTGTGTTGGTTCTTTTACAGGTTGATACCACCTTTGATAAGTATTGAGTGTGACAATAAATTTTCACTTTTGTTCTCGTACTAGGAACAGCAAAATTATTTCCGTACTCCATGTATACCTTACAACAAAATTATTTTTAATTACCTGTGTACGTTATTTTATTTGGCGGCATTTTGTCCAAGGTTATGGTTGTCTTTCTGATATTGTTTTACATCTAACCCCCTTGTTTTATTAATTTTGTATTAACATTGTGTCATAGATTAAATTTATTCGTTCAGTGTATGTTCACTTGTTTTTGTTAATATGTCTTTTGATTGAGTCAGGAACCTGATGTTCAGTGGTTGTCGTTTGTTGATGTGGTTCATACGTGTTTCTCGTTTTTTATATAGATAAGACCGTTGGTTTTCCTGTTTGAATGGTTTAACACTAGTCATTTTTGGGGCCCTTTATAGCTTGCTGTTTGGTGTGAGCCAAGGCTCTGTCTTGAAGGCCGTACTTTGACCTATAATGGTTTACTTTTACGAATTGTGACTTGGATGGAGATGGAGAGTTGTCTCCACATCTTCTTATATCTTTTTGATACTGTTTTATGTATTTGGTTTGAAAACTTTTGATTTCCTGGTGAAGGTTTTTGCAAAGATGTGTGATGCAATCTAAACCCATCATCATACATTTATCAAGTCCAAATTTTATAAGGGAAATGTTTTCAAGCTTTCACTTATTCTTTTATGAATTAAAGAGGATATGGGGTATGTGTGAATCAAAAAGCAACCCAATGTTGACCTTAGAATATCTATTTTTATAATTGATGTCAAAGCCAAATAACATGTTTACTCCTCAAAACTTGTTACCAATCTCCACACAGAATAATGTTGACTCATGATGTATAGAAAACGAGGACCAGATCTCATCCTGGAAATTTAACCTGATCACTGGAGTATGAAGTTCAGATCAAGGTCATATGAAACAATTCAATGTCTCATCAAGAGCCCCTCATGGATACATTTTTTTGTAAACCCAAGTGAGAGAGAGGATAAGATGTTGACACCCTTACAGCTGGAAGTAATGATTTTGTCTTGCCTACTGCAGGCTAGACAAAATTTCTATTGTATAGTTGTAGCATCTATTTGGACAGCTATACATGCAACATAAATCAACAAGAGAGCTCATGCTAAAATGTCTCTTCTACTTATATAATATAGCAATTGATTTCATGGTTCAAGTCTTTTAAATGAAGGTTTTACTACAAATATTACATAAACTTAAAACTATTAATGATCCATGAATATCAGGTCAAGGTCAGATGAGACCTGGTCTAACCAATATGTACACCTTACCATAATTACATACACCAAAAATATTTCCTTTGGGCTTATAGAAACAAATCTTACCGTGAAAACAGGACATTCACCACTGAACCATGAAAATGAGGTCAAGGTAATTTCATACTTGCCAGACAGACACGTACACCTAACAATAATTCAATACACCAAATATAGTCAACATTACTTATAGTATGTGAAAAACACATGTTTAACCCCACCACATTTTATATGTGCCTGTCCAAAGTCTGAAGCCTGTAATTCAGTGGTTGTCAATTGTTGCTGTATATCATATTTGTTTTTCTATTCATTGTTTTGTACCTATATCAGGCTGTTAGTTTTCTCATTTGATTTGTTTTACATTTGTTATTTCAGACCCTTTTATAGCTGACTATGCGATAAGGGATTTGCTCATGACCTGTAGTTGGTAACTACTATGTCATTTAGTGACTTTTTGGTCTCTGGTGGAGAGTTGACTCATTGGCAATCATACCACATCTTCTTAATTTTATAATAACCAGGAAAACTTAAAATTGTCAATGCAATGAACCTATGAATGAAGTCAAAGTAAGATGATAAAATACTTTGCAGACAGACATGAACACCTTACAACTATTCCATACACTAGATACTGTTGACCTACTGCTTATAGTATCTTAGAAACAGACCAAAGCACAAAAAAAACTTAAAATTCACCAATGAATCCTGAAACCTTTTTTTTCACCAAATATAGTTGACTTAGTGCTTATAGTATCTGAGAAACAGACCTACAAAATGGAATCATGTTACTTTAACATTGATCCCTGACCCATAAAATGAGGTAGAGTTCAGATAAACCCTAACTGACGGACATGTTTTCCTTGCAAGGATCCAATATACCAAATATTATTATCCTGTAACTCATAACAAATGAGAAATTTACATGACAAATAAAACCAAACTACATTTTTTTTTAAATGGTGGCTGAACCATGATAATGAGGTCAAGGACAATGAACATATGACAGATTGATTGATTGATTGCTTAATGTCCAACATATGACAGACTAAAACTCTGTATTTTAAGGCATCATATACAAGGTATGAAGCATCTAGGTCTTATACCTTCTGAAATATAATTAGCTTTATTTTAATAGTTTATGCCACCACCACCAGATGAACATCCCTATGTCTGTCTTGCATTCTGTGACTTTCGTTGCAGGCAAGACAAGACATACAAGGCAAATGATCTTCCTGGGAGAACAAGCTTTTGTTTAAACTCATTAACTGGCATGTGAAAAAACAAAAACAAATGCACATTAAGGCTTATTTTTCAATCAATGAAAAGTGAAAAACCAATTAATTAAAGTCATATACAATAACACAAGTACAAAATATCAATAGAAAAGTTTCCATGAATACCAAGTTAAACAAATTTATGTATAGGTGATGGTATATATTTTTAGTAGCGATACATCAATTATATACAGTTTTCTCATGATGATCACAAAACCTTTCACAAACATCTTGCATTTTTCAAAAACAAAATGCATACAAGTTTTCTTGATCAAGATATACAATCTTTAGTAATCTTTTAAAACATGTTATATTTTAAACCTGAACTATTAAAGTCAACAGTAAGTCTCTTTAAGAATTTAAGAGAGATAGAGGCATATATACATTGACAATTTTAACCTGAATGGAAACTTAACAAATTAAAAGTCAATAAATTTAATCTATTTAATGCCAAAATTCAACACCCAGCACACTATTTCACAAAGCATATAAAAAGATAATGGCACATAACTTTGTAACAAATATATGCAACCTTTACATAAACATGTTATACTTAATTGGTACAAAGAGAGGGTTCCACAAATAATCGCTGGACTGATGTTTGTTTAAGTAGCATACATTTGTTTTAAGATACATGCATTTTGAGACTTATGAGTGAAAGTGTCCATGATTTCACATACAAAAAGACCTATATAATTCATGAAGTTTTTTTAGTATATATATTTATTGCCAAGTCCAGAGAGACAGAACATTTCTTCAGCAGGGAGCATGTACCAATAACTAGGTTGAGGTTCAAGATTTTTTCAACAGTGATTCATGTTTCAATTAATTTGTTTCTCTGGTTTTGTCTTAAGATTTGTCATCAGTACACAAAGACTTCTAGTTCCAAAGGTCAATTATTTCAGAATTTCATTCAATTTTTCTCCTTTCCTTTTGTTTGTTCACCACTTTTTCTGAATGTCTTTTGTAACACATAAGCATCAGCAGGTTCAATTCTTTTATAATAGTTCTTTTTTTCTTCAACGATTTCAAATCCAAATTTTTCGTAAAATTTTATAGCTCCTTCATTATTTACTTGTACATGTCTGAAAAAAGAAAGTAAGATTCTGATGAAAACATATAAATAGAAATCCAGATTCATAATGACGTTTGGTTTACCTGAGACAAGAATGAACTCATAATCTGTATGTACACGCAAAGGTCTGGACATTTTTTTGTAATGCAATTTTGCAATTTTTTTACAACTAGAAAGATGTAATCTTTTAACTTTAAATTGCCAAATTCATACCAGATGTCACAACATAAATAAACTTCTATCAAAGGTTATGCTGTATGAACACTATGAAACGTCATACCTGTTTTTGTAAAAGAGTTGAAGAATAATATGTGGAATGCAAAAGTTTAACACAGCAATGATTTTGATGACTAAAAACTAAATTCCTTAGGAATTGATCATGCTGCTTTCATTTTTGAGAAAGCAAAAGTTTTCAAGCTGATTATAAATTACGAATGAAACTGGATCTACAATATAGAATTTTCTTCTGGCTATCAAATAGCACCAACTCAACGTTTTTAGGATTCATACTTGTAAAATTGTTTTAATGTCATTAATAATCGTTATACTCATTTACTCAGCAAAATATTTAAGCGCATATTACGATAAAACGTCTTATCTTGTACTTATTACTATCGACTCTTAAGAGCCTGTGTACTTGAAGTTCACCTTGGTCTATGTGCATATTCAACAAAGGACACTCTCCAACATTGTAGACGAGAATAAAATTAATGACAAAATTCTCTGTTTTTTTCTATCTTGTATTGCTGATCATTTAGTCTCTTTAGTTTTTCTCTATCTTCTTTAGTTTTTGCTCAAAACAAAAGAGGGTAAAAAAAAATCTCATTTAAGGGCAATCACTCCTATAAAAAGTGACAGTCTACTAACTAACTATATTGGCAAAAGTTGACTTGTTAGTAGTTCTTACCTAGCTGATAATTTTTGTGATTTAAATGTCTATTTATCTATTACAATTTTTTTCATATAAGGCAAAACGCAAAAAAAAAATGGTAAAAATAGTCATTAAAAGGCAATAACTCCGGTAGGAGTCGTCGCCAGATTTCCTCCATATTGTCTTAATTGTAGATTTTGTCTTGCTGATCATTTTTGCTTATTTAAGTTGTTATCTATCTATTATAATTTTAAAGATATAAGGCCAAAAATAATATGTGTCTTTTTAAGGTTACATCATTAAAAAAAATCGGGTAGGTAGGTTGGTATTTCCATTTTATTTTATTTTTTCAATTATTTTTTGCAACATGATTTTGAGTCATGCATGGCCCGAGTTTACCTGTATTTTCAATGATTGGATTATTCCCCTTGGTTATTCCTTGGGGGAAAAACTTTATCACACAAGTTGCTAGTTTCCTTAAAACAGCTGTCATATTCACGATTGTGAACATTGGGATGTATAAGGCAATTGATTTATTTTATTGGCAACTCTTAACTTTAATTTTGACATAAGTTCAGTTAAATTTTCACTTTACAACAGAGAAAAAAATGACTTCGAGTCAGCGCTCAAAAGCAGGGTAGGCCGGGTAACTGTAAACAGACACAAAATTTTTGGCAAAAGAGCAAAAATATAAATAATCGTCATTAAAGGGCAATAACTCTAATAAGGAGTCAACTGACAATTTCGATCAAGCAGTAGAACTTGTCTAGCTGATCATTTTTGCAATTTAAAGTTTCTCTCTATCTATTAAAGTTTTCAAGATAATGGGCAAAAATGAAAAATAAACTGTTGACACAGAGATATGTCTCGCCTATTGGCAAAATTCAGAAAAAGACAATCTGATGGACAGCAACATTGGACCATGATCTAGTGGGCAGGGCCTGAAAATGGTCGACAAACTGAAATGTAGACAGTAATGTAACTTTATAGAAAATATCGTTGTTTATTGTAAGTAATTCCTATCAATATAACTTAAGCTGAAAAACTTAACATTGAAAATTGCTAATGAATTCATAATCAATGGACCATGTCCTAGGGGCAGGGCCTCAAAATAGTTTTCAAACTGATATGTACTGATAGTAATGCAACTTTATACAAAATATCATTGATCTATCATTAGTAGTTCTTATCAAACTGACTTGAGCAGAAAAACTTAACATTGAAAATGTCTAATTAATTCATAGTCACTGGACATGACCTAGGGGCAGAGTCTCAAAATAGTTTTCAAACTGATATGTACTGATAGTGATGCAACTTTATATTAAATATCAATGATCTATCACAAGTAGTTCCTATCAAATAAATTAAGCAGAAAACTTAACAATTGTTGATGCCGTCGCCAGAAAAACCAATCCCTATGTCTCGCTTTCCGCAACTTTTGTCTCAGGCAAGACAAAAATGGTAAAATTTGTCATTTAAGGGCAATAACACCTGTAAGAAGTCGTCTGACAGTTTTGACGTATATTGACAATAGGTAGAGCTCAACATTCTGAACATTTATGCCCCGGTCAGATTTTCTCTATTTATAACGGTTTTCAAAATAATTGACAGAACTTGCATTTTACCCCTATGTTCTATTTTTAGCCATGTCGGCCATCTTGGTTGGCAGGTGCGATCATCGAACACATTTTTTAAACTAGATACCTGAATGATGATTTTGGCTAAGTTTGGTTAAATTTGGTCCAGTAGTTTCAGAGGAGAAGATTTTTGTAAAAGTTAATGAAGACGACAACGGACGACAAGTGATAAGAAAAGCTCACTTGGCGCTTCAGGCCAGGTGAGCTAAAAAGGGGACACTTGCCCAAATGTGTGATGAATATCGGCATGTTCAACTGAACCTACAGATCTTTTTTTTAACAAAATGCTTTCAATTTCAAAATTTAAACTATCAATAGCCTTTGCTGAAAATTTTATCACTTTTGACACAAGATTCAAGTTAATGTATATGAGTTGTAAACAAGAGTTTAAAACAAATGATTTGTTCTGTCTACTTCTAAAATAAATCATGTAAATTTTTTCCATCATGCACATAGGGTGCATTACTCTTTCTGAGTGTGTCTAATATGTTATGGAAATGATATTGTAACTAAAAACTTACAGAAATACATTATCAAAATTTGCATCTTCCTCACAGATCTTCAACACATGCTTTAACATAACTGTTCCTGAAAAATATGAACAGGAACAAAAATGTCATCCAGTATGTTTAAATTATTTACAATTTTTGTCAAAATTATTCAGTTTTTACCATTACAGAATAACAATTATAACCATGATTATAAATAGTATTAAATGTAGATATAAATTTGAACTGTGCGCTTTGTGAAATAAGGTAGAAATGGTTTGTGAGCCTCACATTTCTACCTGCTATATTTTATACAATGTATATATACCTATATGTAATCTTCTGTATGGTGCCAGACATCCCAGTGTCATTATGTATAATCTCCTCTGGTTATCAGATGTATCAATACGACAACAAACAGCACCAACCACAATGTCATTAAAATATGCTAAAAATTAAAAAAAAACAATAGGAAAATTAATCTCACAATTCAGCACTGTAAACATGTCCTAGAAAATCAAATAAAAGAAAGAGTCCTGTAACAAGTCGACTAAAAATCAAACAAGTGGCTCTTAAGAGATTGATTTGCTCACCTGGTAAAAATTTGTCATTTTAATTTTAATTTTCATCTTTAAAGTTTAATGCAGCAGTAATGTCATGTAGATCATATCTAGCCAATCATTGTTTGTTGTTTTCAAGGAAAATATCCAAAATTGCAATTGTCATTTACAAGGAGTCAATTGACAATTTTGGTAATGTTGATTTCATTGTAGATCTTATTTTGCTGATTAAGTGGTTTCTGAGAAGATGAATTAAGACAATATCTCATGCAAAATGATGGCAAAAGCTCAAATGGCCCATGTACATCGCAGCTTGGTCATTTACTTTGGTAACTTTATTGATACCAATTAAAACCTGTCATAAAATATTTCTTTTTCATAACATAGTCATGACAGTCTACATATTATACATGTTATACAGAGTAAAGTATTTTAAAAACAGAAAAGTCTTGCTGAGTTAACGTTATTTCCATAAATTTCCTTATTCGATCTAAAATTCCCAATATTTAATTGCTTGAATAGGGGACCATTTTAAAACATTTAGAATTATCCCTGTTTATATAGGGCTAATCATTGAAAGTATAATGTAATATATGTATATACTTCAGTTTTGTCAGTTCTTGCACTACTAGAACACCTTTATAGAACTTAAGTTTTGCCAGTTCTTGCACCACTAGAACACCTTTATAGAATTAAGTTTTGCCAGTTCTTGCACCACTAGAACACCTTTATAGAACTTAAGTTTTGCCAGTTCTTGCACCACTAGAACACCTTTATAGAACGAGTTTTGTCAGTTCTCAACCTTTAGAACATCTTCATAATATCAATGTAATTCTAGTGCATTATACTTACCAAGTTTTGCCAGCTCTCCCACCTCTAATACATCTTTATAGAACTTATCATTGTAAGTCACAGGGAATACCACTTGATTCAATAACTTAAGCTGCTTGATGTTGTGAGGAGTTATGTCCCCTAGTTCTGTATGACCTCTGAAAAGATTAAATACAATCAAATTTAATAACTTCAGCTGTATCATATCATAAGTAGTTACATGTATACCTCTTAATCTTTACTTGTGTTACTTTATGACCTAGGAAATCTAATTTATCCAAAACAACATCTTGTGCTCTAAATCAATGACAGCTTTCCTGTTTCAAAGATGTAGCACTCTCTCTACAAGAGGCAAAGGATTTCACATTATTCTCATTCCAATGTGACATGGCTGCGTACTTATTTTAAACACACCCTCAATCAAACGACCCCCCCTTTGGCAAGGATTTTACTGTGGGCCAGTTCAGTGATTTGGTAACATACTTATTATGCAATGTATTGTAAAAATAAAAACTCCAACCATTGCTCGGTCCCCCTCTAAATTGTTTTAAATTTCAGATTTACAGAGGAACAAAGCGGCCGCTGTATATATTTCATTCAATCATCAATACGATTTGGTCATTGATCACTTCAAGACTATTGATTCTTCTTGCTGGTCACAAATTGATTTACTTGTGTAACTTGTTCACAAAAATCAAGAGTTGTCTCCCTTCTACCAATTTTCAACATAGTCTTCTACCATTATGGGGTTCATCACTAAACTGATTATTCTGCCACTTTTGGATGCAAATGTAAATAATCTATAGTGATATACAGCATACTTGTTTTTTTTTTATTGTTTTATACATAAATCAGGCCGTTAATTTTCTAGTTTGAACTGTTTTACATTTGTCATTTAGGGGCCTTTTGAACTAGCTTACTATGGGGTATGGTTTTTGCTCATTGTAGAAGGCCATACAGTGACCTATACCTGTTAATTTTTATGTCATTTTGGTCTCTGGTGGAGTTGCCTCATTGGCAATCATGCCACATCTCCTTATTTTTAAAGGTAAAAACATCCTGGTCAGTGGTCTAGATCATCTCAGATTGGTTAATCATGTCACTAGCAAATGAGGTGTTGTGATATCTGTTAGTGACATATCTTGCTGCACTTGTTTGTTCCATTTCCAATGCCAGAAATGCATATATTGTTTACTAACTCAAATGAAGGATATTGGTCTCTGCTAGCAGCTACAAAAATGATCAAATATAATAATCCATTTTTGGATTCTGGGTCTGAATCAATTTTCTGATAAGGTGGCTAAATCAGAAAATCTCTCCCTACTCAGTAAGACAATACTCCTGTAGCGGAGACGCATATTTTTATAGTTCTGACGTATTTGCCGGGAATTTCAAACGAAATATCTATAAAAGATACACAAGTTCACTTACACTGTGTCCTGGCAATTTCCCGTTTCATATTTACGAAAATTAATCTAGACGGACATTGATTGTTCCTTTATAATACTTTTAAAGTTTTTAAACAATTGTATAGCCTTAATTTGGTGTATTTTCAAGCAAATATTAAAAAATTCTTCTTGTTTGTAAATGGCTGCTATTTAGAGAGCTTCCAAATATTGTATCTCGGAATTTTACGTAGGCTTTGCTTGTTTCGACTTTATGGAGTACGCCATTTTGCTTTTTATTAACAAATTAAGTAAATGTAAATTTAATTGGTTTTGGTCTCTTAACTTAAATTCTACTGGATAGTTTATTGTTACTAAATATAGGTGCTCTGGCACTATATACTGATATATACAAATGTTTCGTCCATTAACAATGCTTAATCATTAAGAGAGCCACAGTCTTCATATAAAGACTATTAAGGTAGGTGCATTATATTTAATGTAACTACATACTGTTTTTAAACAGTTTACTGCTCTAAATGCAAGGGAGATAATTTTGGGACCGTTTACTTAATTTTTACCTTTTTGACTTTGCCACATTTGGAAATAAAAACTTGTTCCTTTAAAATGTAGTATTTACTATTAAGATTGAACTAGGTTTAAACTTTATAATTAAATAAGGGTCAACTATATTATTCTGCAAAATATAACTTAATAGAATTTACTTGAAGAATGATTTATTGATGAATGAGATTGTATGCTGCATTGTGTAAACATACTTAGAAAATATATGTTTTAATGTGCATTAAATATGCAAACTTTATCGCCTCACTGATTTAAGAAGCAGACTCAGGTCCTAGAACCCTGAAGTAGTTGTTGTATGTGGTCTTGGCATATTTCATAGTTTAATAACATAAGGTTTCCCCTGGTTTGAATTTGGACTATTCTATTGGTATGTTGTGTGAATTCTAGACAGTTCAGCACTCAGACAAATCGACTCAAGGACAAACGTCTCACTGATTTAAGAAGCAGAGACTCAGGTCCTAGAACCGGAAGTAGTTTTTGTATGTGGTCTTGGCATATTTCATAGTTTAATAACATAAGGTTTCCCCTGGTTTGAATTTGGACTATTCTATTGGTATGTTGTGTGAATTCTAGACAGTTCGGCACTCAGACAAATCGGCACCAGGACAAACCCCCCAGAAAGACACTTGGTACCAAGACAGATCGCACCTAGACAAATCGGCACCCCATAAAGACTAAATCAACCTTGTGTTTATTTGCTTATTAGCTGTCAGACCTTATTAAATCCTTGTTCAAAATATATTGACCCAAAAATAAAAATCATCTGGGTCTGATATCGGTATGTGTGCATGACCTCAATTTGCAAGTTTAATGTAAATTATAAAGCAATTAGTTTCGACTGTTTTTAAAATTACTAATTTGATTCCTGCACTATATACGACATTAATGTATTATATGGTATCTTATGAAGTGGTTTATTCTTGTTGTTGTTCATTGGCGAGACTGTATTGCAGCTTAGTCAATTGATTATTGAGTTGCTGTCTTATTCTTGTGTATTCTTTTTCCTCATGCATGAATATTGATTTCAAAGAGACATACATGTGATGGAAAGTGAAACTCAGATCAGGAGATTTGGAAATTTTGGTCAGGAGATTAGGACTTCCTTTGAATATGGGAATGGCTTAGGCATCATGTTCTGGGAATCAATAAATATAAACAAATACCAAACATAAAGATCCAGTTCATACTTAAAAAAACAGATTGAAACTATGACTGCTCCAGTTACACTCCCATGGGAGGACTGTACTATAAAGCAAGAAGAGGACTCAGAATCCCAAAAGGGAATACAAATAGAATCCACTTATTAGATTCTGCTTTCAATTGACATGAATTGTGTTTAACATTTATCTCTAGTACAAAATAGTATTTTCATGTCTCATTTGGAATTCTTTATGGAAGAGAATGATTCAATTATTGTCCAGTTTGGACACTGTGGTCCTCAGTATATACCTAATAAAGCAGGCCTGTACTAGATAAAAAGGGGGGTTGAAAACTATATCGATCAGCTCATCGATTTAAGTACACACTTAGAGTACAAATTGCAGCATTAATATAGAATCATGTCAAAGTAAAAATCACAAATATGCACCTTGTCATTGTAAACACTTTTGATTTACATCAACTAACTGCTCACATGTGTTCCCGCTCCAAAACCGGAAATAAACAATAAATGTTTTGAATCGGCCCCTCTATTGGGTAAAATTCAATGCTGTAATGATTTAAATTAACACTTGTATAATAAAAACAATTACGTGAAAAGCCAGAAGACTTTCCGGTTAGAAAAGACCATCTGTATTCCATGACTTCTGTATTTATAAAAAGTTAGGACAAAGAATAGTATAGATATGCATACAGCGAAATTATCGATAAGGAATAAAACGTGAAATGATTGGCAATAAATAAAAATAATTGCCAAAACATGAACAAAACTTTATTAAAAATAACTGTTCTTCTGCTTCTACTTCTACTGTACCATTTTGCGGCCACCATCAATAAACTGATTATTTTGCCACTTTTGGATGCGCATGTAAATGTTTTAGATAAAAATATGTGAACATTCTTGTGCTATACATTCTATATACAGTGAGGTTAAAGACATCCTGGACGGTGGTCTAAATCGTTCATGTAGGTGAGTCTTGAAACTTTCAAGACTACATGCACTGGTGGTGGTGAGTGGTAGTGCGTTCAAGTCCCTTATTGTTCTTGGATAGAACGATTCTTTCCTCACTTCTGTTCTACATGTTGGTAATGTGAAACTATTGCTGTTTAAGTTACGGGATATTCTGTCTGGTGGAATGAGCGTGTCTTCTGTATTTACATTTACCATCCCGTTTGCAAGTTTATACATCATTGTGAGTCTTGCTGCTTTTTTTCGGTTTTCAAGGGTTTTCCATTCTAGTATGGTAATCATGTCACTAACAGATGAGGTGTTGTGATATCTGTTAGTGACATATTTTGCTGCTCTCCATTGTACTATTTCCAGTCGGTGTTTGTTGTTGGAAAGGGTCCCATACTATGCATGCATACTCCAAAGTTGGTCTGACTAGGGATTTGTATGCAGTTTCCTTTATAGTGGTGTTATTGATATTGAGCTTTCGTTTCCGAAATCCAATGGTCTTGTTTGCTTTGTTACAGATGTTTCTGATGTGTTCGTTCCATTTTAAGTCTGAGCTAATGGTACAACCTAGATATTTGACAGATTTTAAAGGTTCCAGTGTGTGGCCATGCAATTTGTACTCTCTAACAATAGGTTTGCGTTTTCTTGTAATTGTAAGTACATTGCATTTATCAGGATGAAAGGCCATTTTCCATTTGTTTTCCCTAGATTGCAAGTTTGTTGAGGTCCTCTTATTTGTAGGTCCACACTGTCTTCGTCTGATGAAATGGTCAGATAAACTATGGTGTCATCTGCAAAGAGTCTAACCCTTGAGCGAATACCGTCTGGCATGTTCTATCAAGGACATACGTCGTTGGTTCTATGCAGAATCATGTCATGAAAGTCTGGACCGGTGTATATCTGTTGCAGTCGTAACAGTTCAAGGCCTTATCTAAAAGAATACAAATTGAACATGCAAAGAAATTATTAAAGCTATATAGTCTCAGATTAAAGTAACTATTTTCAAAGTTTTACTGGATATATGTCATGTTCGTCAGTCCAGGAGATGAACTTCGGCACTGTCAAATAAGTAAGTAATTGATAACTTTTTAGATTTAAGTATAAGCTTAGTTCAGATGAACTTTTCACCGAATATACGACGATAAAAAAATATACAGTAACAAATAACACAAAGCATGCAGCATACTACTTGAATAAATAATTATAAACAGCACAACTCTAGCACACATTGAAAACTAACACTAAACGCACTCAGACAGTCTATCAAAATAAAAAAAAAAAGAACACTTTTTAAAAATGTTTTAAAGATGCGGTCAGTACTAATATAAAGTAAAACTATATTTTGTTGTTAAAATAGAAAAAAAGTCAACCGGGCATTATACGTAATTAACAGTTATTCAGAGGTTTGTATCTAACTATCAGAAATTTGAACAGTACACTGCATATCAAATAAAAAAAATAAAAATGCATGCAAATAGGGACAAAAATATGATTTATTTTTATAATAAAGTATTGTTGTTGACCTTCAGAGCTGGTGCGCACTATTTAAGCGTAACCGTCCCATGTGTGCACCGAATGATAGGTGACTATAGATAGCATAGTGAAAAAAAGTAATTGCAATGCAAGCTATCTATGCAACATAAAATGCATGAACTTATATCAGATTACCTGCAAGCAGAACCACTCCAGGATTGAACAAGACTTCTTGCATGTGTGAAGTCCTAAAGTGGTCTGGTAAACTATTCCATAGAGACCCAGTGGCGAAACGAAAAGATTTGTTACCCTATGTGGTATTTCGAATCTGTGGTATTAACGGGATGTCCCTGTATCTAAAAAGATATTGATTTTGTAAATAAAAAGAAGCCAGATTATTCAAAATTGTGTAGGTCTCAAGTGTCATTTCTAAAGACTGAGACGGATAGATACTGAATGTGGGGAAACGCAATTTGCTAATAATTCATCCTATGACATATTATGAGGTTAACAATTGAACGCTTGGTTGGCATTCCGATGGAAACTAACTTTACAAATCTGCGGATTGCAGATTTATTCCCATACCATTGGTAGGATCCAGACATTTTATTAAGGGAGGGGGTGGGGTTTCCAACCCAGGATAAAAGGGGGGTTCCAATGTCCCCATTCAAAAGCATTGATCGTCAAAAAAAGGTGGGTTCCAACCATGATTACTGTTAAGAATCAAAATAACGACAAAGCTTCACAAAGACCCTACAAAAATCGATTCTCGTCTCTAAAATCTGTAGGTAAATCATTCTTAATTTTAGCAGCTGCGTAGCGATAAAAAATATTCCATAGCTCGGTGTATTGTTTCTACCTGCATTGGGCTGTTCGAGTTAGCTGTATTTTTATATATATATCTTAAAGAATATTATTTGTTATGCCCCACCTACGATAGTAGAGGGCATTATGTTTTTCGGTCTGTGCGTCCGTTCGTTCGTCCGACCGTCCGTTCGTCCATCTATCCCGCTTCAGGTTAAAGTTTTTGGTCAAGGTAGTTTTTGATGAAGTTGAAGTCCAATCAACTTTAAACTTAGTACACATGTTCCCTATGATATGATCTTTCTAATTTTAATGCTATTACTCGGAATCTCAGTTTGACTTTGAAGAGATGGATGTTTTGACATATGCATATTTATATAAAATGAGGAGATGTGGTATAATTGTCAACGAGATGAGACAACTATCCACCAGAGTTAATTATTAAAATGAAGTTGATTTTTTTTAATTTAAATTGTATCTGTATTCACTGTAGAAATGCTAAGTGCTTGGGCAGTCCGATTTAGATTTAGACGAAAGATTTTAATAGTAAGACTTTATTCGTTCTTGAGTAGACAAATCAAAAGAACATTGTTAAGCGATCGAATCTAGTTTTACCAAAACGTTTAGTTGAAGGTAGGTCTCAAAGTTTACAAATCTCAAATATATTTTGGTATAAAATTTAATTAAATTCAAAGTCTATTTTTTCTTTTTTAAATTACCAGAGCATCTGGATTAGCTTTCATTCGGTTTAGTTATTGTACAGAATCATGACAATCTAACATTTTAAGACTATATCGATCATCCGTGGCACTTTTTAAATGTGTAAGAACACTTTTTTCAACCCGGCGGCATATGATCATAGGGCATTATCCTCAGCAAGGACTTGCACTATACAAATCCTTTTCCTCAGCTTAATTTTGTTTTGTTCTTTCGTCATTTACAAAAATATCACTTATGCGAATGTCAAATATTAAAAATAAAAAAGACTAACTGTGATTAGCAGCCCGGCTTTCCTGTTTCTCTGCGATTCACTAGAAAAAGGGGTGTTCAAAATTAGGGGTTCATTTTGAATGATTGGAAATGACGTATATTTGTTGTTATTCGATAGTTTAATTAGGTGAATATATCATAGACCAAGGATTTATATAGTAAGATATAAGTCTTACTATATAAATCCTTGCATAGACAAACCAGTTAGGTTGGTATTGGCTGCCGCTGAGCCTTTACTATATCACATGGTAATAGTAGTATAGGTAGGATTGAGAGTCGCCTTGCTTAAAACTTTTTCTAAATGGATTGAAATGATTTTTTTTATTTAATTCTATAGCCCTATATATCTGGGACTATTATACTAAATCAATATATTATGTCCCAGTATATATCAACACTGAAGCAAGGACGTATATATATAGAGATTAATACATGGCCTTTTCCATATCGGCCCGGGTATCATCCCGAGACCCCCATATCAGCCCGAGACGTAGTCGAGGTGCTGGTATGGGTCGAGGGATGATACCCGGGTCGATATGGAAAAGGCCATGTATTAATCTCTTTATCATATACTTCCGACAATTGTTTTATGTAAGGCAAATAAACAAATGAAATAACTAAAACAGTCAAAAACTTTATAAAGAAGTTAAATCATGAATCCAACAAATACACTATAATTGTCCAACAATAGCAGCAGCACTACCTCCATATATATTATGGTACCATTTCCTATAGAGGTATTTTGAAACATTAAAAATTTGGAAGCTGGAAGCATGGAGGAAGTATTTACAGTTTTATGATCATTATTACTACATGTTGTACTATATGAGATGATTCATAATTGTCAATGGCATTTATTAGCAAGTACTAATTGTAAACTAGCATCATTTTGAAAATCTATATCATCGGATTTAGCCATGTTAACATCTTTTTTTCAATAACAGCTGGTTCTGTACAAACAGATTTACCACTGGATCCAATAAACCTTATCGCTATTTGTCCGTCATTACTGGACATCCCAAAAGTTCCCGTAAAATTTTGACGTCATAATAAAAAATATCTGACGCCACAATGGAAAAGTAAACATACGATACCGGAAATACCCGAAGTAACTTGCACGAGAGGCACTGTTATTGGTTTTTTGCACGAGACGCCCCTGATATGGGTTATCATCCCGGGTGGGAAATTATGGCTTGTGTACTTCCGTTCATTACACATATGCAAAAGCTATCATATTAATGCTAAGTATATGATAAATATTAGTTATACGTCCTTGACTGAAGCAAATAAAAATTGAAAAATAAATTTGATCGAAAATTTAGTCAATATTATGCATAGATACCAGTCCTGTTGACACAAACACCAATGTCGTGATATAGAAGTTCCTTCATAATATAAATTCCAAATATACGTTTTCACCTGTGTTTTTAGAGAAGAAATTTATTCGGATCGATATTCGTTATTCGCCGATAAAGTTTTATGATTATTAAAAACCGCTTCAGCATTTTCATTAAACCGGAAGTTGTTTTCTCTCAAGACATCGATTATCACATGATAATTTTACAAATTCAATATTTCATTGCAAAATGGTAAGTATGTATTTAAGAATTGCCTGAATACCCCAAATGTTAAACAGTCACTAGTAAAGAACTGAACTTCTATAGGAATCGACTAAGAAAATTTGTTATTCGTCCTAAATGAACCACAATTTTACGGACCTGTAGGCTGTAGATACTTAATAGTGATTATTTTCGAAGACATTTGCCGGGTTCTTGGTTCTACATTGTACACTATATACATATACAACCAGTCTCATTGAAAATTGACATCAGATGAAAAGTCTCTAAAATTTCTATTTTCTATAACATTATCATAACGTTTTATTATGTAGATTTAACTTGTTTGGGTTGAAATTTATGTTGTAATCTTAATGTCCAGTGGCAAATATTACGTGCCTTTTCATGACAATAATGAGTATCATGAGGCATGATTATGATTAAGGAGTTTATCTAGCTTTTTATAGGTATTTGAGGCAGGTGCTACCTGATGGGCTCTTGGAGGTTATTCAGACATGTTTGTTTAAATAATTCATCCTCGTGATCATCTTTTTCTGTAATCAGATATGCAAATTTGCAAGTTATCATGTGCTCTTCAGATACAAATTCGATGGAAATTGTATGCTTCATTAAGATTTTTTCTGAAAAATTTCAAAAAGGAATGAAAAATTGGAAAAGGTTTAAATTAATCAACTGCCATGATATTGAAGGTCTTTCAGGTCATTGATAGAAATATTTAAATCAACCCTTCTACAAATTATGCTACTTTCTGGAGCTTAAAACAGAAAAAATAAAAGTTTTAGCATGCACAAGCTTAGAATATACAATTAATCCTATCTGTAAACATGATTCAGTCAGAGCTCAAACATAGTTTTTTTTTTTTACTTTTGCCTTTCAAGAGTTTTATCTTTTATGGCTAGCTCATACCTGTCAACTGACCCTTATCCTGCGGGTCACACCCGAGAATTTTACCCCATACCCGGGATTTTTTAAATACCCACGAGTCATAAAATAACCCGGGAATTCAGAAAAATGACCCGTTTTCTCTCGGATTGTTGAGCCTTTAGACTGATTTCATACGTGATTTTCCTTTGAAATACCGGCAAATTCGTAATTCTTCCTGGACAAGAAGTTTAACTAGCTGTGTTAACTGTCAAATTAAGTGACCCATTAAGTGCATGGCTTCACTTGACAACTTTGGTGACAAACACACTGTTAATTAACACCAATTGTCTATTTCAAAGTTGTTTGACAATAAATTTGAGTTACTTCCCCTTTTTTGTTAACGTTCACAATATACTCCTTAATTTTATTGTTTTTTTTTGTAAAAAGATTAAATCTAAAACAAATTGAGTGCAAATACATATCAGAATATTACTTTCTTTTATTTTTATACGACCGCAAAAATGTGGTATGACGTTGGCGTCGTCTTCATCGAAGACACATTGGTTTTCGCACTCGAACTTTAGTTTAAGTGAATGGATCTCTATGAAATTTTACCATAAGGTTCAATACCACAAAAGGAAGGTTGGGATTTATTTTGGGGGTTATGGTACCAACAGTTAAGGAATTAGGGGCCAAAAATAAGCATTTTTGTAACTTCCAGACATAACTTGTGTGTTAGTATATGGATTTTTCTGACATTGTACCACAAGGTTCCATATCACACAGGGAATGCTGGGATTGATTTTGGGGGTAATTGCCTCAAAATTTTAGGAATTAGGGGCCAAAAAAGGGGCAAAAAAACAAGCATTTTTCTTGTTTCATGACAATAACTTGTGTGTACATTTGTAAGTGTATGGATCTTTCTGAAATTGTACTACAAGGTTTCATATCACAAAGGGAAAGCTGGAATTGAGTTTGGGGGTAATTGCCCAAAGCGTTTAGGAATAAGGGGCCAAAAATAATCATTTTTCTAGTTTCCAGACAATAACTTGTATTCAAGTGTATGGATCTCTCTGAAATTGTACTGCAAGGTACCATACCACAAAGGGAATTGATTTTGGGGGTAATTGCTTCAAAATTTTAGGAATTAGGGGCAAAAAAAGGGACAAAAAAACAAGCATTTTTCTAGTTTCAGGACAATAACTTGTGTGTAAGTGTATGGATCTTTATGAAATTGTACTACAAGGTTCCATATATCAAATTAAAAGGGAAAGCTGGGTTTGAGTTTGGGGGTTATTGCCCTAAACATTTAGGAATTTGGGGCCAAAAAACAAGCATTTTTCTAGTTTCCAGACAATAACTTGTGTTCAAGTGTATGGATCTCTCTGAAATTGTACTGCAGGTACCATACCACAAAGGGAAGGCTGGGATTGATTTTGGGGTGATGAATCAAAAGGGGGTTCAAAAAATTTGGGGGGGGATTTTTTTTTCTTTAAAATTTTCCATTTTAAATTGGTTATTTCTGATTAATATATACAAACAAATAAGAATGATATGGTTTGAATAGGTAAATTAAAATTTTTTAAGTTCTTAGACCACATTCATTCTGTGTCAGAAACCTGTGCTGTGTCAAATATTTAATCACAATCCAAATTCAGTGCTGTATCAAGCTTGAATGTTGTGTCCATACTTGCCCCAACTGTTCAGGGTTTGACCTCTGTGGCCGTATCAAGCTGCGCCCAGCGGAGCATTTTATTCTACCTTAAAACAATTAAAAATTATTTTGAAAATTATTTTTTTTATCTCTACTTCCATTTAAAGCTTCTTTTTTTTTTTATGGTATTCCAATATCAACAAACTTTGAGAATCTGCACATACATCTGATACATACTAGGAAACAAGTAGCTTGAGAATTGATTTAAAACTATGAATGAAACAAGAAGAGGGGGTATGGCCATGATGGCTTTGCTTGAAATGACAAAGTATGACACATTAATATTGACTTATTGTGCAAGGAAAAAATAAAATTAAAAGTTTAAAATTATTTTCAGTTAGTAGTACTTCACCATGTGAACATATTTTGGAAACTGTTCGATTTAAAATATAAAGAAATGTCCCCTAAATACTTAAATTCAGTTTAAAAAAGTTTGTATGCGTTATGACCTAATATTTTCTTCTTCAATGTAGGTCATGACCTGTATTTTCATTTTCATAGGTTGACAGGTATGGTCTAGCTATTGGTTATTGATTGATTAGACAATGCTACTTTATGCTGTTTCCATGCAATAACTTTTTAACCAAGGCCTTTCAAATTTAAATCTATTGTAACTGATTACTTAATGGATGCAAAGTTTGATAGTGACGATTTTTACTTTTGCTGTTTATGAGTTGTGGTCTTTGATTGATTGGAAAATGGCACTTCAAGTTGTTTCTGTGCTATAGAACCATTCAACAAATGCTTTCAAATTTTAATATGTTGTTCCTGATGACAAAATAGATTAGGCCAAGGCTTTTTATGCCCCCGTCGTAGCGGTGGGGGCATTAAGTTTTACCCTTGTCCGTCTGTACGTACGTCCCAAAATTGTTTTTGTTCTCTAACTTGAGTTTGCCTCAACCAAATGTTATGAAACTTATACACAATGCTTATTACAATGTACCACAAAACACAGATCAAGTTTGAATTTTGGTGGCGTCACTTTTACCGTTCTAGAGTTATGCCCCTTTATAAATGGAAAAATTGCATTTTGTCAGCTCTAGCCTTATCTAAAGTTTGTAAAATCATACGTATTAAGGAATGTTTACAATTCTCTTTTATATTGAAAAAATAACAAGCAGTGTGATAATATTTAGATGAACTGGGTTGTGAAAATAGTCCAAAATACTAGGGTATGAACAATTATTTATATTAGTAAAGAAATTATGAGCAAGAATATTCATTACAAAATACAAATGTCTGTAAAATTATATTTTTAGGCTGGTGGTTTAGACAGAGCTAAAAGTAGTCTACCAAAGATCAAAGATGAAGAAAGAGAATCTATTTTTGGCAATGTGTTTGCTGTTTCTGGACCAGGTAACATTTTTTATTTACCATGTTAACCTCAACTACAATGCAATAAAATCATTTACATCCGTTTGATCATCCACAGCCAGTCTAAGAAACCTAGTAATTGACCTTTTTGTTGACCCACAGCATATAATTTAGTGTGCTCTTTGGCATAAAATGAAGATCACAAGTTGTCTTAATGATCAGTTATACTACTTGTTGCAAAGACGAATCTAAGAGAATATAAGATACCTACATGTATTATATAATTTTATGTCAGAATTTTATTATGCCCCCGCCGTAGTGGAGGGGGCTTTAAGTTTTACCCTTGTCCGTCTGTACGTACGTACGTCCCAAAATTGGTTTCCGATCTCTAACTTAAGTTTGCCATAACCTAATGTTATGAAACTTATACACAATGCTTATTACCACCAAATGCAGATGAATTTTGATTTTTGGTAGGGTCACTCTAACCGTTCTAGAGTTATGCCCCTTTATAAATGGAAAATTTACAAAATTTTTAGTTTCCGTTCTCTAACTAAGTTTGACTCAACCAAATGTTATGAAACTTATGTACAATGCTTATTACCACAAAATACAGATCAAGTTTGAATTTTGGTGGCGTCACTTCAACCGTTCTAGAGTTATGCCTCTTTATAAATGGAAAAATTGCAGAATTTTTAGTTTCCATTCTCTAACTTAAGTTGCCTCAACCAAATGTTATGAAACTTATACACAATGCTTTTTACCACAAAACACAGATGAAGTTGAATTTTGGTGGCGTCACTTTAATCATTATCGAGTTATGCCCCTTTATAAATAAAAAAAATTGCAAAATTTTTAGTTTCAGTTCTGTAACTTAAGTTTGCCCCAACCAAACATAATGAAACCTATACACAATACTTATTACCTTAAAACTCAGATCAAGTACAAATTTGGGTAGCGTCACTTTTATCGTTCTTGAGTTATGTCCCTTTATAATGTTGTATGCAAGCGGGGGCATCAGGACACATTATCCATTTATTTTTTAAATACTAATGTATATAACTTGATATTTAAGGGGGAATATTGGAAGCCTTGCACTTTCTCACCAAATCTCATTAAATCTACATTTCACACTTTATTGACTCAGCTCTTGTTTTCTAAGTGATCTTCATTCATGTAAATCTAAAATCATCAGTCCAAGAAAAGCAATAAGCAATAAGCTCTGTAGTTGGTGTATTCATAAAACAAAGTGTATAGTAATTCAATGTTCTGACTAACATAAAACACCTGCATTCATTTTGAATTCATGAATTTTGGCCTGAAGTAAAAGGGAACTATAGGTTACAATAACTTTCACATGTTCCATGAAAAGAAGATATACAGAAAATGAATAAATGTAAAATTGCAATAAAAGCAATGCCACATGCACATGATTTTTTTAGTGAGAAGAAAAGAATTAAAAAATACATACATGTGACATATGTATCTCTTAAAACTTTATACTGCATATTCTAAATTTATTTACTCATTGGATTTTATGTGACTCTGCTAGTTAAAGATATTGACCCAAACATCCAAGAAGTTAAGCAGTTACAGTACAAAAAGCCTTTTACAGCTGCACTGTATCTCTGTGGAATCAATCATTTTCATGGATACTTGATTTTGTGGTTAAAACACATCCTGAATACACACCTTTGCAGTACTATGTGTATTTTGTAGAATAATACTGATGTACATGCAAGGAATAACAAGTAATAATGAGTCCTCAATGTAAATGTTACTTCTTCAGATATAAGTATAATATATTTGCATATTTTGTTTTATACAGTCGTTGTGGCACAGAAGATGGCAGGGGCTGCTATGTACGAGTTGGTTCGAGTCGGTCATTCAGAATTAGTGGGAGAGATCATTCGATTGGAAGGTGACATGGCAACCATCCAGGTTTATGAAGACACCTGTATCCTTAAATGTGTACATATGTACTCAGTGGTTTTGCAATACAAAAAACTTATGTGAATTAATAATTAAAAGATATGATTTTATGCATTTTATACCCCGGTAGCTTAAAGAAATTGTTCTCAAATCCTAACAGAGGTTGAAATATCAGCCCACCCACTTGTGATGTATAAATATCAGCCCACCCGCTTGTGATATGTAAATATCAGCCACCCGCTTGTGATATGTAAATTTCAGCCCATCCGCTTGAGATATAATATCTGCATAATTCCCTCATCTAGACGTATACCAACAGATGGAAATAATAACAGCCATTTTACTATACATCAGCCGATTTTTTTTAGAAACTGAGTACTATTACGAAATCCTTTTATATGTGTCAAGTGTGTAGTTGCATTGTCAGCAATTCTTTAAAAAATGTTGAAGAAGTATTAAGACTTTTTGTTTTTTTAAGGGGTATTGTAAACCTTAAATTTAGATCTGTCAACACAAGAATTGAAGAATAAAATTTTTACATTGTTTCTGTAATTATATATTTATTTCTAAATACTTAAGCTCAATGGTTTGTTATTTCCACCTTAACACCTGCACAGCTGGTGTAACTGTTGGAGATCCTGTGTTACGAACAGGAAAACCTCTATCTGTAGAATTAGGTCCTGGAATTATGGGTAGTATTTTTGATGGTAAGTATAATCTACATTTAAAATGAAAATAAGTCTTATGATGCTGTGGGTTTGTTTGTTTTAAACCTCATGGTATTGATTTGTGCGATGCATTTACATTTTGTATATGTACATTTTGTACACGAATAGGAAAAATGAATCGCTAAATTTTGATAACTGTACAATGGCTAACACTAAGAATGCAAGTTTCTGTAATTCAAGATCAAGATGGCATTACATTTATTGACTGGTTGTTGTTTGTAAAGTGGGTTGACAGGGATGAAGGGCATGAAATTTTGACTGCCTGCCCATCATCTGATTTAATCCACCTCACTCCATTACCGAGGGTCTTTGTGGGGGGGGGGGGTTCCTCCATTTCTGTATTCTTTAATTTTTTATGCCATTTTTCTCTATTCTTTATACTTTTTGTCCATTATTCTCCATTCTTTATATTTTAGCACCTCATTATGCTCTATTTTTTAATTTTTTTGTGTCCATTTTTCTCTATTCTTTATCTTTTTTGCCCATTATTCTCTATTCTGTATTCTGTATTCCCCATCCACACCATCATTACCTAACAGAAGTGAAAAAATGAAAAAAATTGTGAACTACTTAAAGATATATTATACTGGAGTGAAATACCCTAGCTTATACTGCAATCTGATTGATTATCTAGGCCTTGAGCTTGCCAGGGGATATGAGCCCATATTACCTGTGAACAAAAATGAAGATCAGAATGGTAATTAATATTTATATCTAGATACTCCAATATAATATAATTTTTATTCAGGCTAAGGTGATATACAACACTGACAGGATACATGAGCCCATACATACATATCATTGGTGTAGATCCTGATTAACATAAAGTATACAATCATTATTTAGATGTTAACATATATTTATCAAAAGTCTGAATTTTTGTTATTGTCATTTCATGATAAATTTATTAATTCCAGGTATTCAAAGACCTCTGGCAGACATTTGTGATATCACACAGAGTATTTATATACCTAAAGGTATAAACACACCAGCATTAGACAAAAATAAAAAATGGGAGTTTGAACCTCAAGGCAATATCAGAGTAAGTTCTTTAGTAAATGGTGCAAAATTTACCATCTACTCTTTATTGGGTATATTTTTTTTCACACATGGAAAAAAAAGGAAGTGACATATTATCCTTGTAGTGACATGAAATCTTATGGATTTAAAAAAAAAATGATAACCATGTTTAAAGTTGTGTCTTAAGTGGTATGACTGGAGATTCCTTTCTTGTTTGTAACGAAAGTTGTGTCTTAAGTGGTATGACTGGAGATTCCTTTCTTGTTTGTAACGAAAGTTGTGAAAAAGATGCATATAGAAATTTAAAGAAAAAAAAATATTGAAAATTATAGTACTACGGTAAAAAAATTATAGTTCTGATGTCACAGTGCTAAAAACGTATGTGATTTCCAGGGTTGTTATAAAAGAACTGTATATGTGATTGTAACTGACAATATCCTTATACATTGTATTTTTCATTACAGGTTGGTAGTCATATAACTGGAGGTGATATTTATGGAGTTGTATATGAAAATATTCTAGTCAAACACAAAATCATGTTACCACCCAGAGCAAAGGGCAAGGTCACATGGATAGCTGATCCAGGTTGTTACGATGTTAATGTAAGTCAAACTCGCTGTTATATGGCAGGGTCACATGGTTGCACAGCATTTTGATATATTTATAGAGAATAAAGAATACAGATAGCCATAAAGGAGAAGGAAACCACATTTTAATATTATTGTGGATGCTGCCAGTAAATGTTGACATCTAAAAATTATTTTTTGGCAAACAAAGATTCATTTAGCTAAATTTGACAATCATCAATGCATTACACACATTGACAGTTATGAAAATATTATTCTAACTCGGATGTTATGGAAACGTTAATACCGGAATGGAAGCTGTGACAAAGAAAAGTACACATTTTTTGCTGTTTTATATCATAGAGTCCCACAAAATGTTGCAACCCTCAAAATGGCAAAAAATTCAAAATGGAAAACTATTTTTAGGAGTACAGCTGTCGTTTGCAAGGATATTAAAAAAAATGCTTACACTTTTCTATACAAATCATTGTTTTTAAATACACATTTTATTTTTCAGGATGTTATTTTAGAAACAGAATTTGATGGTGAAAAATCTAAATTTACCATGTTACAAGTATGGCCTGTACGTACAGTTCGTCCTGTGACAGAGAAATTAGCTGGTAATTACCCACTACTCACAGGACAGAGAGTGTTAGATGCTCTTTTCCCGTAAGTATTAACAACTCTTAACTTCAAGTCCAATTGTGTTGTGTTTACATGTGTTTACAATTGCTTTTCATGTTTACATTTAGATCTATTTTTCAGCATACAATGTTTCTTTTTTTAAATTTCCCAGAAGGTTTCACAAATGTAATTACTTCACTAGTTTAGTGAAAAAGAGATTTATAAACTTGTAATATTTTATTATCAAAACTTAACATTGCCGAATGAGTCAAGCAACACCCAGAAAAAACAGCTAAAATCAGCTTAAATAGTCTTTTTTGCAATAAAAACAACTGATAGACATTCCCACACATGTCTGTAGCATGTGCTTCTCCATACTACAGTGTAAACTAAAAATACAGATTTTGTTAATTGTTTAATTTATGGTTTCTCTGTTCCCGTGAAATCAATAGAAGTGATCATGGCACTAATAGTAATAAATGCACATTAAAATCGTCAGTTAAAAACATTACACAATTTGAAATAATGTATATGTGTAGATTGACAGAAGCTAGATCTAAATATATCAAGAGGAAAAATGAAAGTAAAAAGCACATGAAATGTATGGAAAGAGTTAATGAACCCGAAATTGACATTACCTATTCTTGTTGATTTTATTCAGATGTGTACAGGGTGGAACAACAGCTATCCCAGGTGCTTTCGGATGTGGTAAAACTGTAATCTCGCAATCTTTGTCTAAATATAGTAACAGTGATGTCATTGTCTACGTAGGATGTGGAGAAAGAGGAAATGAAATGTCTGAAGTACTGCGAGATTTCCCTGAGGTAATAACAATCATTATGCATAATTTACAGAAATTAAAACTATTCAGGGTTGAATATCATGGATTTGTTATAAATGAAAAGCATGAAAATGTTTACCTGGGGAGTAAATAACCAAATAATCTGACAGAACTATAAATATGGCATCAGTATATTAGCTTTATCCTCTAAAAATAACTGCACCTTGACCTACTTATATGTACTTATAGAAATAAGACAATATAGTATGATTGCCAACGAGACAACTCTCTATCAGAGACCAAGTGACGTAGAAGTATATTATTCATTCTTTTTAACATTTAGCTAAGCATACACCAATTATACACATGTATTTGTAAACAGTGTTATATCATGTAGAAAATAACTAAATCTATGTTTTAATTTTTTCAGTTGACTATGGAAGTTGATGGAAAACCAGAAAGTATTATGAAGAGAACAGCTTTGGTTGCCAATACATCAAACATGCCTGTAGCTGCTAGAGAAGCTTCTATTTATACTGGTTAGTATAGTCATACCTCAAATATTTTATGTCTATTATACTACTTTTTCCTGTAGGAGAATCTCTTTCCTGGAAAGAAATATGTTTTCAGTACAAAAGTTCTTTGCTGATATCTTTTTTGAGGAGTAAAAATCAGAATGTTTTATTTGCCAGGTAAAAATGAACTGGCTAATTTGAAATTTAAGTTACATAACATAAAAGCATGCAGGGTTACTTATAAGCTGCCATCAATCAATCAATCAACCTTCAAACATGTCCCTTAAATACCTTTAAATATATAAAGCACACATTGGATAGTAGATTTTACATTATATGTAATCATATTTTTTAGGTATTACATTATCTGAGTACTTCAGAGATATGGGCTACAATGTATCCATGATGGCCGATTCTACGTCTAGATGGGCTGAAGCTTTGAGAGAAATTTCTGGTCGTTTGGCTGAAATGCCTGCCGAGTCTGGTTACCCAGCATACCTTGCTGCTAGATTGGCTTCCTTTTATGAAAGAGCTGGTCGTGTGAAATGTCTGGGTAATCCGTCTAGAGAGGGCAGTGTCAGTATTGTAGGAGCGTAAGTAAAAAACAATTGATAAAACTGAAGAATTAATTGGAACTCTTTCGTTCTTTGCACAAGTACAATAGTACAAATAAACATTGATACACCCACACAAGGAGAGCATGTGCAGTCATGGATGTTGTATTTTGATTGAACATGAAACATCACTTTTGATAATCGAGTAATTGGTTCTATCAATCAAAATGATGGCATTCTTATGAAACAATAATAAAATGTGATATTTCAGATATACTGAAAAATTGCATGCAAATTCTATTCCATGTTTTTGTCTTACAATCTATGGAAAGTCATTTGTCATGAAAATTTCTATACTTTGAACAAGCAGGAGCAAACAACATACTGTACCGTTGATTTTATTCAAGTCCTTATTATTTGTCCATTTTGATTGCACAAAACATTGTACTAAAATATTCCCTGTTATCATAGCACACTATGTTGAGCACACACTGAATAGGAATCCTATATGATTTAAGTTTGGCACACAGTTTTTCAGAATTTATATAATTATTGATTTATTTTTTTCAGTGTGTCTCCACCTGGTGGTGATTTCTCAGATCCTGTAACTTCAGCTACCTTGAGTATCGTACAGGTGTTTTGGGGTTTAGATAAGAAACTTGCTCAACGTAAACATTTCCCATCTATTAATTGGTTGATTAGTCACAGTAAATACACAAGAGCATTAGATGAGTTCTATGATAAAAATTTCAATGACTTTGTGCCACTAAGGAAGAAGGTAAGTTGTGTTCTTAATGTTTTAGACATTTTGTAGGAGATTGAAGTTTCTGAGGGTCTGGATGGGGATTACAGTATAGAGAATAATGTGCAAATTAAAGGGCGAACAAAGTAAAGAGAAGAGAAAAATAGGCAAAAAAAAAAGGAGAATAATTGGGTGCTAAGGTATGATGAAAAGAAAATAATTGTAATGGGCAAAGAAAAAATAAAGAATAGAAAAAAATGCCTAAAGTATTAAAGAATCCGGACATGAGGGACCCCATCAAGACGCTCATTATTGTAACTTTCCATTTATTGAGACACTTTCAAAATGATATCTTGGAAGCTGTCAAGTATGCAAGTAACAATTATATTAAATTTTATACTTAAATGCCAAAGTATTCTTCCTATATTCAATTTATATAACACCTTTATACATTAGAATACATGAGAACTAAAATTATTTCAGTGTAAAGAAATTCTACAAGAAGAGGAAGAATTGTCAGAAATTGTACAGTTAGTAGGAAAGGTAACTACAAATAAATTAATGATTAAGATGGTATAATATATAGTGTGACAGCAAAGACAATATTGGCAGGAACTTTAAAATTGAAGGAAATTATTAGCCTTTAACAGTGAGCACAAGAAAACACATAAAATATAATAACAACATCTATTTGACCCTGAATTCTGCATTGTTTTTGGTCATCGTAGTAATAATGATACCCAAATTTAATTTCTGATAAACAGTAACCATGTATATATATATATACTAGTACAGACTTATGTAAGAACAAATAAATTTGTCAATGTTGAATGCTTTATAACTTATGTTTTAAATAATTGTAGGCATCCTTAGCAGAAGCAGATAAAATCACATTAGAAGTTGCCAAGTTAATTAAAGATGACTTTTTACAACAAAATGGTTACACACCTTATGACAGGTAAAATATTTATGTTTGAAATATGGATAGTCTTTACAGTATGAAAATCATTGTAAATGCATTCAAACAACTCGGCAAATTGATGGATGGATTGATGGCTGTTTAACGTCCAGTGGCAAATTAGAGAACCTGGTCATGTGATATAAATGATGTAAACCCTGCTTTGTACTAGACCGACACACTGAGCCATTTTTTTAACATGCTAGTTTACAAGGTAACTGTCCACAAGAAGACAATTTACCCTGCCTTAGGAAAATTGAGAATTTCTTTCTGACCACAACACTACACAAAATATCAACCTTGTAAACTTTCACCTCTTATACATGTATATACAAAAAGAAATTTCTTGTATTTGATACCTATGGTATTCTTCATTAAATGCAAAATGAAATATTATCATTCATATTGAGTCCTGTTAAAATCAGAACTACTGTAGTACACAAAAAAGACTTTTTGCAGCGAAGGGTTGCTATAGACTGACTTAATAGTTGACCTGAAAAAGAAAAATGATCAACATTTTTGCTATACCATTTAGAGGTTTTCTTCACCACCTAAAGATTTAATGGTGAATATACATGCATATCAAAATAATGGTCATTTTAAGTATAAGAATATTTTCATCATTTGTAAAAACAAGTGTACCAAATCCAGAGTCTGACAAGATTGTTAAGTTAAAGAAATAAATGCTGTCACTAAAAATTTAAATAATATTGTCAGGTTTAATTCTGCCAGTAAACAAAATATACTTTTACATAATGAATATTATAGATACCTATGAAATGTACTTTCTTTTTCAGATTTTGTCCATTTTACAAGACCGTTGGTATGCTGAAGAATATTATAGGTTTTTACGATATGGCTAAACATTCAATAGAGAGCACAGCACAGAGTGAAAACAAAGTAACATGGGCAATAATTAGGGACCAAATGAACGATTTATTGTATAAACTTAGCAGTATGAAATTTAAGGTATGAACTTTTTGGTTTTTTTTGTTATTTGCAAGGCCTAGTTGGCCGAGTTGTCTAAGTAGTTCAACTACTGTATCACTAGCCTGTCAACACTGAGGTTGTGAGTTCGAATCTAGCTTGTGGCAGGTGTGCTCGACTCCAATCTTAATTGACTAGGATTGTCAGTTTTCCTATCGAAGGTCAGTGGTTCTCTCCAGGCACTCCAGCTTCCTCCACCAATAAAAGCTGACTGCCATGAAATAGCACAATAGTGCTGAAAGTGGCCTTTAACATCAATTAATCAATCTATCATTCACAGACAATATCCAAAGGCAAGAGACATATTTCTTATTTTTCTAGCATTGTGATCACTATTTAATGTTATTTTTTACAGAATAGTTACTGATGAGTTTATCATTGGTATTTAGTATACAGTTGCAAATGGTGCTTATGTTAACTGTTGAAACTATGTCGAGCTTGGATTTTCCCTTGTGTAACCACATTATGAAAGTTAGAAATGCTGTTGTCTGTTCTATGGTTGGGTTGTTGTCTCTTTGACACATTCCCCATTTCCATTCTCAATTTTATTTAATAATCGTTGCTAAAACCAGTTAGAAAGGCCAAAACAAAAAACAAAAAAAAACTTGCTTACTGTACTTCTACTTCAATCAATAAAACTGGCAGCAAATTAAAATATTTATAACTTGTGTTTAGCTGCATATAATCAATCTAATTTTTATTTTTAGGATCCAGTAAAAGATGGAGAGAAGAAAATTAAATCAGAATATGAAGAATTGTATGAAGAACTTCAACAAGCATTCCGAAATTTAGAAGATTAAAATATAATTCAAACTTAATTCTGTTCTCCATGACTATTGTTATACTAATAATTACTGTATAGACTGCTAGTACATATACATCTAATGATCCAAGCAGGTTCTTGTTGACAATATTACTCAGAATTTTGTGTAACATAGAGTAGATGTGTTAGGATAAAATTTAGATAAAGGCAAGTAATGTCAGAAAAGTCGGATATTTTTGCTTTGGGTTAATCAAGATATTGAATCAAGGATTATTCAGGATTTTTTCTATAAATTAAAAAACAAATTATTTTACTCCATTTTGCCCTTTCTGCATACAATTTGCCATTTCTGCATTCAAAGGGTATTTTTATTTATTTATTCATATGTCAAGAATACCTTATCTTTGTAATTAAGATATCAATAAAGAATTGAGGGTGAAAAGTTTTAATATTTTTAGATAAGTTGCAGAACAAGTGTTTTACATAGTGATAAAAATAAAGTTTCAGGGAAGCTATTAGTTATGAGAAAAAAATAATTTATAAACATTCCATACTTATATATTAATTTCATATTAATATGTAAAATAAAGTTGGTCGATGTAAACACTGATCTGTATGATAAGCGGGTAAATGAATGCCAGGTTATGCTGTCAAAATAGCAGTAAAAATGATATTTGTTACAATTTATAATTTTATAGTTTCCAACAGAAAAAGTAATAGTAACAGTTTTTCTCTCATTTTATTTGCAAATTAATTCAATAAAAGATAGTTAAATAACATAGATCATAATTCGAAGTGCACCACAAATTTTATTTTGTAAATTCTATACTGTTACAAATCTTACTAGCAATAGATTCATCATTCAAAAAGGGAGATAATTCATATTTTACTGGAAAACTGACTGAAAATATAAACCATAAATCATGTGTACATAGTCACAATATAGAGTGTCAATGTGATTGAGAGAGTGTAGGAGGTACATGTGCATTGAAAGTATGAAATACCATTGAAATCCATAAATAAACTATTCAGCACCCCCTAAATGAGAACATTAAAGGATGAAATTCTAAAACAATAATTTCCCTATATTTTTTTGCTGAATTAGTTATGGATCTGTCTCTTTCAAGTAATTTTGTTTGAATTGATATAATTTATATAGCAATAGATAGATAGATATATATTTGGATATTTCTGTGATACATATGTGTATGTCTTAATTTAGTTAATTGTTTCATAAAATTAATTGTTTTCTATATTTTAATGTAAAGGAAATTCAAATTGCCTATATATGTCGGTTTGAATCTTAATCTTCATTCAATCTGAATATCCTAGATTATATAACAAAAATTAACATTTAGAGAACATAAATGGGAGAATGGTTGCCTTTATATAATATCTGTGAGTTCTAGTCAGTTGAACATATTGTTATGTTTAACATTCCAAAAAAATATGTTATCTTCAATTCTAAGTTGGCCCCTGTTTGGAAAAAAAAGTGACTGCCTTTAATTTATTGTAAAGCTCTTATTTAAATGTAATTAGAGACTACACTTCAATAATTTTTGGATTTATGATTTTTGATAAAAGGGAGGATCTGAACCATTCATTTATTAGTAAGACAGATTACACTTTGTGTGTAAATTTACCATAAGAATTGCACTATTTTGAAAGTTGAATTTAAATTACTGCTTCAATTAATTTGTGTAATAATATGTACTGTAGTTGTTGTTTTATTGTTTGATTAATGAATATGCATGATTACACAAATTATTTAATTGTTCATATTAACTCATTTGAATTTTCAAATCACATTAATATAACTAAAACTAATGCTGAGATACTTATTGCAGAAAACATTTAAAAAAAATTATGTTAATGATTTTCCCAAAAAATATTTCTGAGCTTTCAGGCCAATTCAGGGTAAATTTGAAGTTACGAAGTTGAAATTTCAAAACAACGATTCCTTTCCAAATCTGATTTTTACTGGAGGTTTTTTTTTTCATATTCTCATCATATTTAACGTTACATTAACCAGGCAACATTGTATAAGAAATATGTATTTGATGTTAGACATTTGTGTTTTATTTGTTAGACATATGTGTTACATTGTTTTCTACACCAGTACGTGTATGTTAGAAAAAGTGATGCAAAATTTACAATATATATATACTATCTGGTATCAATAATAAAAATTGAACACAATGTGTTTTGTTTCATTAAATAGAATTAAAGGATATACTATATTTGCTTTAAAAATGAATTCAGTGCTGTAAAAATGGAAAGGTCTCAAACAAGTTCAGACTGTATAACACAGATAATCAATAATTGTATATTGTTTCTTCGACTGATATAAGTTTAAACTAACTATCCAGTTTTGTGCTGAAATGTATCAGTGGTAACAAAATAAGGACACACATTGATAGGTTTCATGCAAAGGTTTTGTCAGTGAGGTATAGAAATAAGTGTTCAACAGCAAGTTTTTCTAACTATAAAATTTACTGGTACAAGGATTAGTCTTATTAGAAAAATGACAGGGATCAAAGGCAAGTGATGTATTAGTGAAATATAGGAAGACTTGTCCAAAAATAAACTCATTTAACCTTTGAAGTAGTACAAATGTCTACATGTAGAGATTTACTGAAAAGTATTTAGTGAATGTTAAGATACATTTGCATGAGCTCAGTTTAGACATATTTCTAGAGGTTTTTAAAAGACGATCAATCTGTACTTTTATGATTTACAGCATATTCATCTCTTTAAGTTTTCATTGTTGCTGATGTCAACTTAGTTCTCCACTAGTAATTAGTTACATATAACGAGAAACAAAACTGAGGCGAATTACCTATTTTTAAAGTGCAATGGAGATATTTTTATTTCAGAAGAGCTAACCTGATTATCTAAGATTATTAATTACATTAATAAATGTAAGGAAAACCCTGGTTTACTGTAATTTTGGCAGCCTCTTGATTAATTAAGAACGAAAGAGAACAACCAGTACAGCATGGTTAGGACATTTTCTAGCTTTACAAAGAATGCTTCATGCTGTTACAATGTTGTAATGATGACAACTGGAGTTCTTGTGTGCTAGTATGTAATGTCATGAAAAAGATATAGTCATAGAACAGTTTTTATACGACCGCAAAAAAATTTTTGTGGTCGTATATTGGTATGACGTTGGCGTCGTCGTCCGGCGTCGTCCGAAGACACATTGGTTTTCGCACTCTAACTTTAGTTTAAGTGAATGGATCTCTATGAAATTTTACCACAAGGTTCAATACCACAAAAGGAAGGTTGGGATTGATTTTGGGGGTTATGGTACCAACAGTAAAGGAATTAGGGGCCAAAAAGGGGCCAAAAATAAGCATTTTTGTAACTTCCAGACATAACTTGTGTGTTAGTGTATGGATATCTCTGACATTGCACCACAAGGTTCCATATCACAAAAGGAATGCTGGGATTGATTTTGGGGGTAATTGTCTCAAAATTTTAGGAATTAGGGGCCAAAAAAGGGGCAAAAAACAAGCATTTTTCTAGTTTCATGACAATAACTTGTGTGTAAGTGTATGGATGTTTCTGAAATTGTACTACAAGGTTCCATATCACAAAGGGAAAGCTGGAATTGAGTTTGGGGGTAATTGCCGAAACGTTTAGGAATTGGGGGCCAAAAAAGGGGCCAAAAATAAGCATTTCTCTAGTTTCCAGACAATAACTTGTGTTCAAGTGTATGGATCTCTTTGAAATTGTACTGCAAGGTACCATACCACAAAAGGGAAGGCTGGGATTGATGATGGGGGTAATTGCCTCAATATTTTAGGAATTAGGGGCCAAAAAAGGGGCAAAAAACAAGCATTTTTCTAGTTTCATGACAATAACTTGTGTGTAAGTGTATGGATCTTTCTGAAATTGTACTACAAGGTTCCATATCACAAAGGGAAAGCTGGGTTTGAGTTTGGGGGTAATTGCCGAAACATTTAGGAATTGGGGGCCAAAAATAAGCATTTTTCTAGTTTCCAGACAATAACTTGTGTTCAAGTGTATGGATCTCTCTGAAATTGTACTGCAAGGTACCATACCACAAAGGGAAGGCTGGGATTGAGTTTGGGGGTGATGAATCATAAGGGGGTTCAAAAAATTTGGGGGGGGGATTTTTTTTTTTTCCTTTTTTTTCTTTTAAAATTTTCCATTTCTAGTTGGTTATTTCTGATTTATATTTAAAAGCAAATAATAATGATATGGAAGGAGATACACACCAAACAGGATGTGTAAATTATTATATAATAAGTATTGTGCAATAGCAAGAAATTTTCAATTGCACAGTATTGCACAATAGCAAGAAATCTTCAATTGCACAGTATTGCGCAATAGCAAGAAATCTTCAATTGCACAGTATTGCGCAATAGCAAGAAATATCCAATAGCACAATATTGCGCAATAGCAAGAAATTGTCAATTGTACAGTATTGCGCAATAGCAAGAAATATTCAATTGCACAGTATTGTGCAAAAGAAGATACTTCGTATAAATTGCTTATTTCTTGACCAATTTCAATGGGGTTTTATTCTTGAATTCTTGGGGTTCTTTAATATGCTGAATCTAACCGTGTATTTAGTTTTTGGATTTTGGGCCCCGTTTTTAAATTGGTCCACATTGAGGTCCAAAGGGTCCAAAATTAAACTTTGTTTTATTTCATCAAAACTTGAATTATTGGGGTTCTTTGACTATGCCGAATCTAACCGTGTATATAGATTCTTAATTTTTGGTTCCGTTTTCAAATTGGTCTACATTAAGGTCCAAAGGGTCCAAAATTAAACTTAGTTTGATTTTAACAAAAAATGAATTCTTAGGGTTCTTTGATATGCTGAATCTAAACATGTATTTAGATTTTTGATTATGGGCCCAGTTTTCAAGTTGGTCCAAATCGGGGTCCAAAATTAAACTTTGTTTGATTTCAACAATAATTGAATATATAGGGGTTCTTCCATATGCTGAATCTAACCATGTATTTAGATTTTTTATTTGTAGGCCCCGCTATCAAATTGGTTCATATTGAGGTCAAAAGGGTCCAAAATTAAACTTTGTTTGATTTCATCAAAAATTGAATTATTGGGGTTCTTTGATATGCCAAATCTAACCGTGTTTTTAGATTTTTAATTTGGGTCCTGTTTTTTAAATTGGTCTACATTAAGGTCCAAAGGGTCCAAAATTAAACTTGGTTTGATTTTAACAAAAATTGAATTATTGGGGTTCTTTGATATGCTGACTCTAAACATGTGTTTAGATTTTTTATTATGGGCCCAGTTTTCAAGTTGGTCCAAGATAGGGTCCAGTATTTAAACTTTGTTTGATTTCAACAAAAATTGAATATATGGGGTTCTTTGATATGCTGAATCTTAACATGTATTTAGATTTTTGATTATGGGCCCAGTTTTCAAGTTGGTCCAAATTGGGGTCCAAAATTAAACTTTGTTTGATTTCAACAAAAATTGAATATATGAGGTTCTTTGATATGCTGAATCAAACCATGTATTTAGATTTTTTATTTGTAGGCCCCGCTATCAAATTGGTTCATATTGAGGTCAAAAGGGTCCAAAATTAAACTTTGTTTGATTTCATCAAAAATTGAATTATTGGGGTTCTTTGATATGCCAAATCTAACCGTGTTTTTAGATTTTTAATTTGGGTCCCGTTTTTTAAATTGGTCTTCATTGAGGTCCAAAGGGTCCAAAATTAAACTTAGTTTGATTTTATCAAAAATTGAATTCTTGGGGTTCTTTGATATGCTGAATCTAAACATGTGTTTAGATTTTTTATTATGGGCCCAGTTTTCAAGTTGGTCCAAATTGGGGTCCAAAATTAAACTTTGTTTGATTTCAACAAAAATTGAATATATGGGGTTCTTTGATATGCTGAATCTAACCATGAATTTAGATTTTTTATTTGTGGGCCTTGCTATCAAATTGGTTCATATTGAGGTCAAAAGGGTCCAAAATTAAACTTTGTTTGATTTCATCAAAAATTGAATATTGGGGTTCTTTGATATTCCAAATCTAACCGTGTATTTAGATTTTTAATTTTAAGTCCCGTTTTTTAAATTGGTCTACATTAAGGTCCAAAGGGTCCAAAATTAAACTTAGTTTAATTTTAACAAAAATTGAATATATGGGGTTCTTTGATATGCTGAATCTAACCATGCATTTTGATTTTGGACATTGGACCATAATAGGTAAATTAAAAAAATTCAAGTTCTTAGACCACATTCTTTCTGTGTCAGAAACCTATGCTGTGTCAAATATTTAATAACAATCCAAATTCAGAGCTGTATCAAGCTTGAATGTTGTGTCCATACTTGCCCCAACTGTTCAGGGTTCGACCTCTGCGGTCGTATCAAGTTGCGCCCCAGCGAAGCATTTTATTCTAGTTTGAATTGTTTCAATTTATGTCATGCCAGGATGTGTTATAGCTTTCTATACCATATGCTCATTGTCGAAGGTCATACAGTAACCTAAAGTTATATTACTGTGTCCTTTGGTATCTGGTAGATAATTGTCTCATTGGCAATCCTACCACTTTTCCTTATTTTTATATGGATCTTTAAATTAGGCTTTTGTCTTTCTCTTTTGAATTGCTTCACATTTTGTCATGCCATTGTCTTTTATAGCTTTCTTTACACGATAGGTTTGTTCATTGTTGAAGACCATGTGGTGATCTATAGTTGTTAACATCCTAGTCCTTTGGGCAATTAAAAACTACTTGTACATATAAAGGAGTAGGTCCGGTAAAGGCAGATTTTGGCCTCAAAATTCAGGTTCATCTGATGAAAGATTTTGGACACTTTTTAAACACTTAAATTTTTACTTCAGTCGATTCAATTAGTTTATGTGAAAGCTTTGAACTGATTTAGTCATTAAAGACGCTCAAATTCAAGCTTAAATATGAAAAATCTATCAAATATGCCATAATATGTCACTTTTCAGATGGTTTTTGTCAAAAATGAAAGTGGCCGCATCCGTGTTCATTCTCAACCTTTATATATGTTATGTATTATCATCAAATACAACTTACATATAAATATTAAAAATGAACACCAATGCGGCCACTTCCATTTCAGACGGAAACTGTCTAAAAATTAACCAAAATGCTAAAATTTCGAAGATTTCAGTAATTTAGCCTGACTTAATGTTGCTAGTAACCGATACATTTGCATTGTATTGTCAAAAACAGCCCATATTTATGTCATAGAAGTATTCTTCTTTCCAATAAATAGCTAAAAATTTACATTTTAACAATTTTGTAAAACTGCTATATTTTGGGGCCAAAAAGGGGTCTTACTGGGCCTACTACTTTATACATTGTATAATTGAAAAGAAAGGATGTGGTGTTTTACTTTACAACACAAAATCACTACAGACACTTAGGGGGAAAAAAAACAACCCCTGGAAACCCCTCCCCCTTTGGATCTGCCACTGGATCATGCTAAATCTTTGAATTGAAGAACACAGCTACAAGGCAATTTCAAATTATATGGCAAAAGATCTATTACAAACACTCTGATACATAGCCCGACAATCTTACTGTAAAATACTGAAGCAAGAAACACAGAATCTGGCAGGGAATTATGTCTGAATTAGATAAAATAAATTAGACAAATATTTATGGCCAAACACATCTTTATACGACCGCAAAAAAATTTTTGTGGTCGTATATTGGTATGACGTTGGCGTCGTCGTCGTCGTCGTCTGGCGTCCTCTGGCGTCGTCTGAAGACACATTGGTTTTCGCACTCTAACTTTAGTTTAAGTGAATGGATCTCTATGAAATTTTACCACAAGGTTCAATACCACAAAAGGAAGGTTGGGATTGATTTTGGGGGTTATGGTACCAACAGTAAAGGAATTAGGGGCCAAAAATAAGCATTTTTGTAACTTCCAGACATAACTTGTGTGTTAGTGTATGGATCTCTCTGACATTGTACCACAAGGTTCCATATCACAAAAGGAATGCTGGGATTGATTTTGGGGGTAATTGCCTCAAAATTTTAGGAATTAGGGGCCAAAAAAGGGGCAAAAAACAAGCATTTTTCTAGTTTCATGACAATAACTTGTGTGTAAGTGTATGGATCTTTCTGAAATTATACTACAAGGTTCCATATCACAAAGGGAAAGCTGGAATTGAGTTTGGGGGTAATTGCCAAAAACTTTTAGGAATAAGGGGCCAAAAAAGGGCCAAAAATAAGCATTTTTCTAGTTTCCAGACAATAACTTGTGTTCAAGTGTATGGATCTCTCTGAAATTGTACTGCAAGGTACCATACCACAAAGAGAAGGCTGGGATTGAGTTTGGGGGTAATGAATCATAAGGGGGTTCAAAAAATTTGGGGGGGGGGATTTTTCTTTTTTTCCTTTTTTTTCTTTTTTTCCTTTTTTTTTTCTTTTAAAATTTTCCATTTTAAGTTGGTTATTTTTGATTTATATTTAAAAGATAATAATAATGATATGGTAGGAGATACACACCAAACAGGATGTGTAAATTATTATATTATAAGTATTGTGCAATAGCAAGAAATTTTCAATTGCACAGTATTGCACAATAGCAAGAAATCTTCAATTGCACAGTATTGCGCAATAGCAAGAAATCTTCAATTGCACAGTATTGCGCAATAGCAAGAAATATCCAATAGCACAATATTGCGCAATAGCAAGAAATTGTCAATTGTACAGTATTGCGCAATAGCAAGAAATATTTAATTGCACAGTATTGTGCAAAAGAAGATACTTCATAGAAATTGCTTATTTCTTGACCAATTTCAATGGGGTTTTATTCTTGAATTCTTGGGGTTCTTTAATATGCTGAATCTAACAGTGTATTTAGTTTTTTGATTGTGGGCCCCATTTTTAAATTGGTCCACATTGAGGTCCAAAGGGTCCAAAATCAAACTTTGTTTGATTTCATCAAAAATTGAATTATTGTGGTTCTTTGATATGCCGAATCTAACCGTGTATTTAGATTCTTAATTTTTGGTTCCGTTTTTAAATTGGTCTACATTAAGGTCCAAAGGGTCCAAAATTAAACTTAGTTTGATTTTAACAAAAATTGAATTCTTAGGGTTCTTTGATATGCTGAATCTAAACATGTATTTAGATTTTTGATTATGGGCCCAGTTTTCAAGTTGGTCATAATCGGGGTCCAAAATTAAACTTTGTTTGATTTCAACAAAAATTGAATATATTGGGTTCTTTGATATGCTGAATCTAACCATGTATTTAGATTTTTGATTTTTGGGCCCCGTTATCAACTTTGTCCACATTGAGGTCAAAAGGGTCCAAAATTAAACTTTGTTTGATATCAACAAAAATTGAATTCTTGGGGTTCTTTGATATGCTGAATCTAACCATGTATTTAGATTTTGGATATTGGACCATAATAGGTGAATGTCCAATTTAAAATTTTTAAGTTCTTAGACCACATTCATTCTGTGTCAGAAACCTATGCTGTGTCAAATATTTAATCACAATCCAAATGCAAAGCTGTATCAAGCTTGAATGTTGTGTCCATACTTGCCCCAACTGTTCAGGGTTTGACCTCTGCGGTCGTATCAAGCTGTGCCCTGCGGAGCATTTTATTTTCAACTATAATTAAAAAAAAAATGCTTACAATATTAAACAAACAGGAACAAGGAACCCATTTTTAATTTTCAATAAAACAAACTCTTTTTCACTCCCTTCAGAACAAATAATTTTCTTCTGAAGAAATATTAAACAATTGATATAAAAAGTAAAAAAAAATATGCCTGCACAATAGATGAATGGTGGTGGAAAGGAGCATTCTCTCAAGAATAAATCCATGCATGGACTCTAATTATTATGGAAAGGAAAGGATATGCCTGATTAAGTGCATCAATTCATGACACATAATCACAACTTGTACTAACCAAAAAGCAAGGGCTTAGCGCTTTTATTGGTATTTCAGTGAGGCCTTAAATGTAGCTTTTCTCAACTACTTTTTTTTCCTACTGAAACAAACAAGCCAATTTTAAATAAATTGAAATCATTACAAATGGTTTCAGTATTTATATCAAAATCTAATTTTTAAAGGACTGCTTCTTGGGGAATAATATTTAGTACTACTGGTACTCATATAGAGTTGTAAATATACATAGTTATAAGGGTGAAGGTTGGCACCTATTAAAATGTTTAAACCCGCTGCATTTGTTTGCACCTGTCCTAAGTCAGGAACATGATGTTCAGTGGTTGTCGTTTTTTTATGTGGTTCATAAGTGTTTCTCGTTTTTTATATAGATTAGACTGTTGGTTTTCCTGTTTGAATGGTTTTACACTAGTCATTTTTGGGGCCCTTGATAGCTTGCTGTTCGGTGTGAGCCAAGGCTCCGTGTTGAAGGCCGTACTTTGACCTATAGTGGTTTACTTTTATGAATTGCGACTTGGATGGAGAGTTGTCTCATTGGCACTCATACCACATCTTTTTATATCTATATACGAGGTGATCAATGTTCCATATTGCAGCCACTAATCTAAATTTAATGAAAAATAATGTATTATTTCGGAGGACAAAAAATGTTTGAATTGTGCAAAAGCGTAAATTGACTCTTGTGTGAGTAAAAAAAAATGAAGGTTTCAAATTTTCCTGTCTTAAAAAAAAAAAAAAGAAGAAAAAAAAAGAGTCTTGAGACTCTTGCCCCTGGGAGAACATAAAGCCCCTTACTTTAAAAAATAGTTTCATCTAAAGAAATTAAAACAGGAAAACATTAATATAATAAAAATTAATATAATGTTTGATACAAAAAATATCATGAAGGATTAAGATGTATATTGAAAATGTTGCAGTATTTATTTGTTTTACATTTTTACCAGTCTTTCCTACTTTATATCTTTTATTTTATCATCAAGTGTCTGTTTTACATCATTATTAATCATTGTATTTGATAAAGCGACCAATCAAAGCAATATGGACCAAAATCTAATTTTAGAATGAGGTAATAGTTATTTTTAGCACTCACAGCTTTCCAATTGATCACACAGAAGCTTTTAAATGATTTAGACATAAATGTCAATAAAACGTCTTGGAGATCTTATCACCAGTGACTCAATGCTGTCGACAAAATACCCCGAAGGACAGGTAAATCGTTTAACATCAAAACGATACGGATCTTTAAAACAACAAAGCAACTTTTTTAATTCGCAAAATGCAATTTATTTACAAAAGTTTTTACATTATTGAGTGACATGATAAGATTTTTACCTACTTTCGTTTCACATGGAGGACTGACAAAAAGATTTGATGCAGGTAAAAGTTCCATTTCATGACTTTATAAACAATCAATTTTAAAACAATGTTGAACACGAGGGAAAAAGGTAGTCTGAATTTAAGGGTTGATAGGGGCATCTGACAGTGTCTTACAGATGTCCACAGTAGCAAAATGTATTGGAAGCATGTTTTAATTTCAGGTTGGGGTGGATCCTGATAAATGGGTATTGTACCCAAAACGGGTATCAAATTTCAGTGATAAAAAAATAATCTTTAGATTTACAGATATTTTCTGTCATGGCAGAAACATATGGATAAGGGACAACATTTTGCCTAAATACACCATGACTGAAATATTATCAGGATAAAAGTTAATAAGCTTCGAAAAGGAGTATTTTTGGAGGCCATTATCTTTGTTTTCAGTTCTCATTTGAACTATGGTCTTACAGGGAAAAATGTTGCCATGTATATGAATATTTGCACAATGCAGTGGCAGATCCAGAAATTTTCTTAAGTGGGGGTCCACTCCAGTCATGCTTCAGTGATTCCCTATATAATCAACCAAATTTTTCCAAAAAAAAAAGGGGGGGGCGGTTTTGGGTATAATACCCATAAATGCGGATAGTACCCATTTATGATAATCTTTTCCAACCTGTTTAAGAATTTCACGGGTTGAAATAAAAATTACCTGTATAAGTAAATTTTTGGAGAACTGTAAGGAGATTATTCATAAAAAATTTAATCTGACAAATTTGCATATTTACAATTAATTTAAAAATATTACTAACATCTTCAAGTATGTAAAATTACTTGTATAAGTTGTGCATCCTTGACTGACAGTACACCTTAATGAATGCAAGCAAACACATAACCTATTACCTAATTGTGAATTCACATGATTAACCTTGGTCATTACTTATCATGGCTTTGTTTACTTTGTCTTGATCTTGATCTTGGTATACAATGTCACATCCTTGAACATTGCTACATCGTGTGTGTGTCAGGGTTAATAACTTACTTACAACTTGAGACTCCCCTTACAATTTCTGTGAACAACTTATCTGGTTCTTCCATTTATTGCATCTTGGTGATGATATCCAGAGGTAAAAGGTTCCAATCTTTAATTGTATTTGGTAGGAAGCTGAATTTCAAAGTGTCTGTCTTGGCTGGAACATATGTGATTATTTTCGTTGTTAGTTACATGTATGTTATAATCCAGTGGCTCTTTTCACAAAAAATCTTAAGAGTTAAAATATTCATAAGTCATACACATTTCAGTATTATAATGTATACCTGTAACTTTTATGATCAATTTTAATCCTAAGATTTTTTTGTGAAAAGAGTGGCTGAGGTCTAGCCAAGCTTCTTATAAATCTAGTATAAATTACAGGAAAAGGCTTAAGATTGATGTAGTATTAATGTAGTTAATTAAAAATTGCAGTTGTAATTGTTCAGGGTCAGACATTTAATGTTCAAAATTGTTATGGTATGTAAATCAGATCAAACATAGGGAGCCAAATATGTAACATCAGAACAAAAAGGGCACAAGCAGAACAACCAAAGTCATTTAAGGTCGACTTAACCCAAGGGAGCTGTAACCTCTGCATTTATATTACATTGTGTACATATAAATAAATTATAGACAGCAAGTTTACACATGTTACACATTCAAATCAAATGAAGATCTGGTCCTGAAAAGTCGGGAATGAAAAATGGAATTGTATTTTCAAGATTGACAACAACAAAATAATCAAGTGAGGGGTGGAGAAAATCATGTTACTGGAAACCAATAACACAGGTGAAATAGGGAAAATTTTTTTGGAGAAAGAGTTATACTGTAAAATAAGAGACTGATACCATATGCAAGGGTAAAATTCCGAAATTCTTCTATTAAATCTGACATACCTGACAACTTGTCTAGAGGTCAGATATATAGCCTTTAAATATCTTCTACATGCTTTTCTGTTAAAAAAAAACCATGTAACCCTTATATCCAAAAAATTAAATCCTGTTATTGTAAAAAAAAACAACATGTTCCTGTTCTTTTAGTAATCCCACCATTGTTCATGGCCTACTTCGATTCGTCCAACTGGGTTAACCCGAGTTACTCGAGTTGCAATCGAAGTACCCGAGTTTTATCATTTTACAACCCTCGAGTTAACTCGATATCAACCCTTCCCCTGACCAGGTTTAATCGAGTCGAGTTAAACGGCAAGATGGCGACGAAAGAGACGCAAGTACTTTTCGAAAATATATTTTTTACGTTTTAAACGGATTTTAGCCATTTTATGTGACAAAATAGAAGTTTAAGTGTTCAATTACAATAGTCACATTAAAACACCACAATATATATCTATTGTATTACATCAATGTCCATCAATTGTAAATATTCGCTAAAATATATACATGTGTACCTCCCTTATACTTTTCAGAGGGGGGGGGGCAAGGTGACGTGTACTGTTCTTGTGTTCTGGGCATTTTTTATTCATTGTTATCAGCTATTGTGAATATTTATTTTTTAAGCTGTTAACTGTTATTGTCAAAATCAGTTCACTGTTCTGCTCTTATTAGGACCCCCTTTGCCCCCTTTCCGTAATATATCCTATATGCTCAGCCTACACGCAGCCACGTTTGTGGTGGTTATAAGGGGTCTGATCCTGGGATCCCAGGAAAAAAATCATGGAATTAAGATTTGGTTAGAATCAATATTATATACTGAATTGCCATCGTTTGTTCATCATCACTAAAAATATGGTTTAGTATCGTAAATTCATCCATGTTGTTAGGTAAACAATGGACCTCGAGTAACTCTCCACCAGAGTTTTTGATTCGATTGACACGCTCTTGACGCATGCGCAATCAAACCTAAATATTTAACTTGAGTAACCCGAGTTGGATGAATAGAAGTAGGCCCATGAGTTTGATAATAGAGTACAAGGTTGTATTCAGAAATGGGCTGTATATCTGGCCCGTTGACAATAAAATTGAGAATGGAAATGGGGAATGTGTCAAAGAGACAACAACCTGACCAAAGAGCAGAAAACAGCCCAAGGCCACCAATGGGTCTTCAACACAGCGAGAAAATCCAGCACCCGCAGATCCACATTAAAGAAAAAAAAATCAAAGGAATGTTTTTCTTCATCTTAAAGATTGCAAGTAGGTCTTCATTATGAAATAAACAGCTCACAAATTATAGCAATTCAAAAAAGTACAAATGAAGAATTTACAAGAACACGGAACTCCAAGGTATAAAATTTTCTGAAGAAAATGGTTGGTTAAACCTGGTTTTATAGCTATCTAAATCTCTCACTTGTATGACAGGTGTTTATAATAGTAACAATATATTGACAAAATTGAGTGGGCAAACCCAAACAGACATACTAGTTGATGTGATAACAATTGGGATCCAGCAGCCTAAACTGTAAATATACAAAATGACTGCTTGATTGGACTTTTAGGGGTACTTATCAATACCCTCTACATATGTCTTATACATTCAGCAGACACATAAGGCACCTGATAACTAACAACTTAACTATACTTAAATAGCATTAAGTTGTCCTCGTATCAATGTTATTGTATAGAATTGACACCATTAGTAAAACTTCAACATTTCGTCAAACTGACAACTCAAAATTTGATTTGGTAGATTGATGGGAATGTATTGTAATGTGTACAATATCAGAGATATATATTGATATACATGGAATTTGTGGTTAATTGTTCTCAATTGTTACATTTTATTTTGACTAGAAAAGTGTCTTTATTGCAGAATAACTATGGTTCCTGGAGATGGTAGATAAGAATGGCTACGCTATTACTGGTATCCTGCTTACTGGGTTCAGCATTCATAACAAGTACAGGTAAATATACTAACATTGAAACTGAAGATAAAACATTTCATTATTATAAAGAAATAGGTGTAACAAAAAATATTATGTAATCCATTATTATAAATCATTTCTAAAGTGATTTGAACTATCAATTTTCTATTTTACATAACCAAAGGTAAAAAAATAACAATCTATATAAGAATTTCATCTAAATGGTTTTCAAGTCTTCTCCCATATAATAATCAGCAAGTATTGATTTTAAGCTTTGAACTTAGAGAAATAATCAATTTTTAGATTTTTGGTGGACCTTAAGTTCATTTAATTAATAATTACATAATGTTTGTGAATATTATAAATTCAAAGAATAATATTTAGTGTAGCTTGAATTTTATCTAGCAAAACTTAATGGTCAAATTGATTTATTGTTTGTTGGTTAATAGACCATTGTATGATTTATAATTTACCAGTTACCTCATTGTAAAGTGTTTCTTATTGTAACATCACACTTTTGGAAAATCTCAATGGTATATATAGCCATGATACAGGTCAGTGACTGAAAATGAAAAAAAAAATATCAACAAGAAGAAATATGGGATATTTGACATTGAGACAGTAGCTAAAACATAATAAAATAAGATAAGACATCTAAAGGAAAACATGAAGCCTTTGACAATAGACTTCGTCTATACCATATGTCAGGCTCTATTTTGTCCTGAGTTTCATACAAGTAATGAATTAGTTTTATAGAGACTGTCTTAGATCTGCAATCAACACTATTTCTTAAAGGATAAATACTCAGATATAAACAAAGTTGAAAGACATCCATTTAGGGGGTTCCTGACTTTGGACTGGTACATTAACATGGAAGGATGACAGCCATGCATATTCAAACCTCCCCCTTTTGATCAGTGGGCTAACAAAAGGTTCATTGAAGAACTTTCAATTAAAATAATGTTAGAAAAAGCACAACATTATAAAGATGTATAACTTTGGTACAATGTATTGTAGATTAAAATTTATATAAAAGTACTCTGAAGTTCTATTCAGTATCCTTGTGTATACCTAAGATTCACTGATGGTGCTTCGCTGCAATATAGCCTTTTTGTGCTGATACATAGTAGAGCAAACACCAATCAATCAATCACTGATGGTGCTTCTGGAGGGTACCCCTTAGGTCAGAAGGTCACATTTAAAAAATTACCTCCAATCACCAGGTCACTTTGAAGCAAACTATCAAAATTCTAATCTGATCTGTTTCTTCGTTTTGAACATTTTTAAAGGTCACACGTCCTTTTAAATTAGACGTCAGGTTGCAAGATTGCCTGCCAAACCCTCCAAGGTAGCAGGACTGATTAGACAATATTGGACCCAAACTGACATGACTGATAAAGCTTCTTGTTATGACTTGCAGCTGATATTTTAATATATAAATTTGAATCATGTCCATTAAACTGATATTTTATGTTTTTTTTATTACAGCAAATTCCATTACACATCTAGCAACAGTGCAGAAGTCTGTTCCAAACATCTCATTTTATCCATGTGTAGTACCGACTGTTGACACTATCCAGTTTTGTTGTGTAACAGAGAATATCCACACTGCAACTGTCCACTTTTACTGGGAAAGTAATGACATTGCCACTATACATCATCCTTGTGATGTTGTCAACCTGAACTCAAATTACAATGTATCTTGTGAGTCTGTTGGCACGACAACTGTGATGTATTTGGATGTCCTAAAGTATAATCACCAGGCAGGACCTACATTATTTGGCTGTCGGTATTATGGGAAGTCAGCAGGATATAATCTGTTCACATCTCACAGTAAGTTTTCAAATACATTAGAAAGTCATGATTGAACAAAACACACTACTGATAATGAATTACAAGTACCTGGTTATGTATTTGAAAGAAAGGACAGAACATTACAAGGTGGGGGTGGTCTGATTTTTTATTTTTCTGAAACAATTAAATTTTTAAGAATAAACAACATCGAAATAGGGGGTATTGAAACAATGTGGGTTGAAATTAAACCAGATTACAAAAAATCCTTTTTATTATGTTTTGTGTATAGGCCACCAAAGTCACTGATAGATTGGGTTGATGATTTTGAAAAAGAAATAAGAGTGGCAATGACCATGAATTCAGATATAACAATTATGGGTGATTTTAATTTTAAAGCACCAAACAAACCTCCTCAAAAATGGCTGAATGTTTTAGAATCATACAATCTTCAACAACTGAATGTAGATGTCACAAGGGTAACAAAAGATTCTAGTACATTGATTGATCATATTTATGTCAATAATCCAAATATGGTACATGAATCACATGTCTGTAGATATGCAATTAGTGACCATTATCCTATCTGTTTAACAAGGAAAGAAGCAAATATAGGAAAAAAGAATACACACAGTACAATTACTTACAGAAATTTCAAAAATTTCAACCAAAATGAATTTTTATTAGATCTGCAAACTTCACCTTTTCATAAAATTGAATTTGAAGAAAACCCCTCTGACTGTCTACAATTGTTTTATGATATGTTGAACAAGGCTTTAGATAAACATGCTCCTGTTGTTAAAAAGAGAGTTAAAAGGGACAGACAGCCTGAATGGTATAACAGTGAAATCATTTACGCTAGGAATATGAGAGATAAATATAATGCACTTGGTTTATGGAGTGAGTATAGATTTTGGAGAAATAAAACTAAACAAATTATAGATAACTCAAAAAAGAATTATTATAAAAATATGATAAAAGACTCCAATGACCCTAAAACTTTATGGAAATGTCTTCACAGTCTGAACCCAAAAGTTAAAAATACACCATATGAGTTAGCCACAGAAGATAACAATACAACTAAAAGTAAAAAATCAATTGCAGAAACTTTTTATAACTTTTTCACTTCATGTGCTGAAAAATTAAGAGAACAAGGAAGTTATACACCTGTAAACAAAGCAGATTTCAGTAATCTTGGTAAATTTGTTAAAAATAAATTACATAAACATGATAAATTTTCTATACCACCAGTGATCATGAATGAGCTATGTAATGAGTTAACAAAACTTGATATAAACAAAGCATCTGGTATGGATAATATTGGACCAAAAATCCTAAGATTAAGTGCCCCTTTTATTGCATCACCTCTCACATACATATTTAACCGAATGATAGATACTGGCATATATCCTTCTTTACTGAAGAATGCTAAGGTAACACCAGTTTTCACGGATGGTGACAAGCTTTTAGCAACAAATTACAGACCTATATCTGTTCTTCCAACTTTATCAAAATTAATAGAAAGACATGTTTCTAATAATATGTACAAATACTTATCTAAACTTAAACTTTTACACCCTACACAATCTGGTTTCAGGCCGCAGCATTCTTGTCAAACTGCACTTATTAATATCATTGACAAATCGTTGCAAGAAATGAATGATGGTAATTTAAACCTGGCAATTTTATTAGATTTTAAAAAAGCTTTTGATTTGGTAGATCATGACATTCTTTGTTTAAAGCTTGAAATTTATGGATTTAGTGAGGCTACTGTTAGTTTTTTCAAGTCATACCTGAATAACAGAAAACAGCAGGTAAACATTTGTAATGTTTATTCTGAACAACAACATGTAAAATTTGGTGTCCTGCAAGGTTCTATACTTGGTCCTCTATTGTTTGTGCTATTTATAAACGACCTTCCCTTATGCATTGAAAATTGTGAAACAGACCTATATGCTGATGACACCACTTCATAAATCAGGGAAAAACATAGAAAATATACATGATGATGTTCAAGAAGATTTATACAGGGTTGAAGAGTGGTGCAAAATGAATAACATGTTCATTAATGCAAATAAAACAAAATGTTTGGTTACTGGAACAAAGCAGAAACTATCAATTCAGACTTATCAACCAAACTTGATAATAAATTTAAAAGTATTACAAAATTCTTCATGTGAAAAATTAGTGAGGTATAGGGGGAGGGTTGAGATCTCAAAAAACATGTTTAACCCCGCCGCATTTTTGCGCCTGTCCCAAGTCAGGAGCCTCTGGCCTTTGTTAGTCTTGTATCATTTTAAATTTTAGTTTCCTGTTTATAATTTGGAGTTTAGTATGACGTCCATTATCACTGAACTAGTATACATTTTTGTTTAGGGGCCGGCTGAAGGACGCCTCCGGGTGCGGGAGTTTCTCGCTGCATTGAAGACCTATTGGTGGCCTTCAGCTGTTGTCTGCTCTATGGTCGGGTTGTTGTATCTTTGACACATTCCCCATTACCATTCTCAATTTTATTTGCAATCAATATAAACATATGGAGATGCGGCATGATTTTCAATGAGGTACATTAAATAGAATACATTTCACCTGATTAATGATAGCAGATGTGTTCTAAAACTTTTTCATCTGTTGAACGATTGAAGGTGTATTCTAAAACCGGAAAAAGAGGTGTTATAAGGCAAGAGAAAAAACGTTTCAGTTACCTGACCAATCTTCTTATTTCACCACCCACTTGAACTTTTTTCTTAACCTTTATGAAAATGAAAAGTCCCAAAATATTTGTGACGTTTCAAACACATATATGTATTTTATTCATAGGATATCAACAGAATTTCCAGTAGGAATATGTTGACAAAAATTGTGTTCATTTTTTTTCCCTGTGCATTAAACTTGATTAACAGAATGAAAAACATATTGAAAGTTCTTTCTAGTCATTTTGTAGCAATGTGTAACAGTAAATGAACAATAAAAATTCTTCTATGAATCAATGATACCAGATATTGTTCTTTTATTATTATTTATCAAATCTCTTTTATTTTTTTATTTACAGTTTTAACAGAAAATAAAGGTTACCAGTTCACTAATATTACACAGAATTCTTTTTTAACATGGAACCAAACAAACAACTATTTTGAGATTTTCAATCCAGCAGGGGAGATAATCATACAAGCCCAGAATTTACAGATTGATGTTAAAGGAAACAAATCAAAAATAAGTTACTCGATGAATGTATCGATGGGAACTTTTTCATTGATTTTATATCATACTAAAAAAGAAGACAATGGAACTTATGTTTATGTAACCAATATCAAAAAAGTTGGGATAACTCTAGTTGTTCTAGGTAAGTTTTTTGTTTCACCTATTTCAAGTAAAAAAAGCGAGACTTAGGTGTGCTGTTTTCTGTGGCAACAATGTATTGGTTTTTATACATGTTATATGACCGCAAATTTTTTTTTCTAGTTTCCAAACAATAACTTGTGTTCAAGGGTATGGATCTCTCTGAAATTGTACTGCAAGGTACCATACCACAAAGGGAAGGCTTGGATTGATTTTGGGGGTAATTGCCCTAAACATTTAGGAATTTGGGGCCAAAAAGGGGCCAAAAAACAAGCATTTTTCTAGTTTCCAGACAATAACTTGTGTTCAAGTGTATAGCTCTCTGAAATTGTACTGCAAGGTTCCATATAACAAAGGGAAGGCTGGGATTGAGTTTGGGGGTGATGAATCATAAGGGGGTTCAAAAAATTTGGGGGGGGGGGGATTTTTTTCTCCTTTTTATACGACCGCAAAAATTAAAAAATTTTTGGTCGTATATTGGTATGACGTTGGCGTCGTCGTTGTCCGGAGTCGTCGTCGTCGTCGTCGTCGTCGTCGTCTGGCGTCGTCCGGCGTCGTCCGAAGACACATTGGTTTTCGCACTCTAACTTTAGTTTAAGTGAATGGATCTCCATGAAATTTTACCATAAGGTTCAATACCACGAAAGGAAGGTTGGGATTGATTTTGGGGGTTATGGTACCAACAGTTAAGGAATTAGGGGCCAAAAAGGGGCCAAAAATAAGCATTTTTGTAACTTCCAGACAATAACTTGTGTGTAAGTGTATGGATCTCTCTGACATTGTACCACAAGGTTCCATATCACAAAGGAAAGGCTGTAATTGATTTTGGGGGTAATTGCCTCAAAATTTTAGGAATTAGGGGCCAAAAAAGGGGCAAAAAACAAGCATTTTTCTAGTTTCATGACAATAACTTGTGTGTAAGTGTTTGGATATTTCTGAAATTGTACTACAAGGTTCCATATCACAAAGGGAAAGCTGGAATTGAGTTTGGGGTAATTGCCCGAAACATTTAAAATGTGTCCGATGACTCCGCCAACCAACCAAGATGGCCGCCATGGCTAAAAATAGAACATAGGGGTAAAATGTAGATTTTGGCTTATATCTCTGAAACCAAAGCATTTAGAGCAAATCTGACATGGTATAAAATTGTTCATTAGGTCAAGATCTATCTGCCCTGAAATTTTCAGATGAATCGGACAACCCGTTGTTGGGTTGCTGCCCCTGAATTGGTAATTTTAAGGAAATTTTGCCGTTTTTGGTTATTATCTTGAATATTATTATAGATAGAGATAAACTGTTAACAGCAATAATGTTCAGCAAAGTATGATCTACAAATAAGTCAACTTGACCAAAATGGTCAGTTGACCCCTTAAGGAGTTATTGCCCTTTATAGTCAATTTTTAACCATTTTTCGTAAATTTTTGTAATCTTTTACAAAAATCTTCTCCTCTGAAACTACTAAGACAAATTTAACCAAAATTGTCCACAATCATCATTAGGGTATCTAGTTTAAAAAATGTGTCCGATGACCCTGCCCGCAAACCAAGATGGCCGACATGGCAAAAAAATAATACATAGGGTAAAATGCAGTTTTTGGCTCATATCTCTTAAACCAAACCAATCAGGCAACATGTTGTTGGGTTGCTGCCCCTGAATTGGTAATTTTAAGAAAATTTTGCAGCTTTTGGCTATTATCTTGAATATTATTATAGATAGAGATAAACTGTAAACAGCAATAATGTACAGCAAAGTTAGATCTACAAATAAGTCAACATGACCAAAATTGTCAATTGACCCCTTAAGGAGTTATTGCCCTTTATATTCAATTTTTTACAATTTTCATAAATTTTGTAAATTTTTGTAAATTTTTACAAAATATTTTCCACTGTAACTACTGGGCCAAGTTCATTATAGATAGAGATAATAGTAAGGAGCAAGAATGTTCAGTAAAATAAGATCTACAAACACATCACCATCACCAAAACACAATTTTGTCATGAATCCATCTGTGTCCATTGTTTAATATGCACATAGACCAAGGTGAGCGACACAGGCTCTTTAGAGCCTCTAGTTTTTTTCTTTTAAAATTTTCCATTTTAAGTTGGTTATTTCTGATTAATATTTAAAAGCAAATAATAATGATATGGTAGGAGATACACACCAAACAGGATGTGTAAATTATTATCTAATAAGTATTGTGCAATAGCAAGAAATTTTCAATTGCACAGTATTGCACAATAGCAAGAAATCTTCAATTGCACAGTATTGCGCAATAGCAAGAAATCTTCAATTGCACAGTATTGCGCAATAGCAAGAAATATCCAATAGCACAATATTGCGCAATAGCAAGAAATTGTCAATTGCACAGTATTGCGCAATAGCAAGAAATATTCAATTGCACAGTATTGTGCAAAAGAAGATACTTCGTATAAATTGCTTATGTCTTGATCAATTTCAATGGGGTTTTATTCTTGAATTCTTGGGGTTCTTTAATATGCTGAATCTAACCGTGTATTAAGTTTTTGGATTTTGGGCCCCGTTTTTAAATTGGTCCACATTGAGGTCCAAAGGGTCCAAAATTTAACTTTGTTTGATTTCATCAAAAATTGAATTATTGGGGTTCTTTGATATGCTGAATCTAACCGTGTATTTAGATTCTTAATTTTTGGTTCCGTTTTCAAATTGGTCTACATTAAGGTCCAAAGGGTCCAAAATTAAACTTAGTTTGATTTTAACAGAAATTGAATTTTTAGGGTTCTTTGATATGCTGAATCTAAACATGTATTTAGATTTTTGATTATGGGCCCAGTTTTCAAGTTGGTCCAAATCGGGGTCCAAAATTAAACTTTGTTTGATTTCAACAAAAATTGAATATATGGGGTTCTTTGATATGCTGAATCTAACCATGTATTTAGATTTTTGATTTTTGGGCCCTGTTATCAACTTTGTCAACATTGAGGTCAAAAGGGTCCAAAATTTAACTTTGTTTGATTTCATCAAAAATTGAATTATTGGGGTTCTTTGATATGCCGAATCTAACCGTGTATTTAGATTCTTAATTTTTGGTTCCGTTTTCAAATTGGTCTACATTAAGGTCCAAAGGGTCCAAAATTAAACTTAGTTTGATTTTAACAAAAATTGAATTTTTAGGGTTCTTTGATATGCTGAATCTAAACATGTATTTAGATTTTTGATTATGGGCCCAGTTTTCAAGTTGGTCCAAATCGGGGTCCAAAATTAAACTTAGTTTGATTTTAACAAAAATTGAATTCTTGGGGTTCTTTGATATGCTGAATCTAACCATGTATTTAGATTTTGGATATTGGACCATAATAGGTGAATGTCCAATTTAAAATTTTTAAGTTCTTAGACCACATTCATTCTGTGTCAGAAACCTATGCTGTGTCAAATATTTAATCACAATCCAAATTCAGAGCTGTATCAAGCTTGAATGTTGTGTCCATACTTGCCCCAACTGTTCAGGGTTCGACCTCTGCGGTCGTATCAAGCTGCGCCCTGCGGAGCATTTTATTTTCCTTTGTTTTCTTTAAAATTTTCCATTTGAAATTGGTTATTTCTGATTTATATATAAAAGCAAATAATAATGATATGGTTTGAATAGGTAAATTAAGTTCTTAGACCACATTCATTCTGGGTCAGAAAACTATGCTGTGTCAAATATTAATCACAATCCAAATTCAGTGCTGTATCAAGCTAGAATGTTGTGTCCATACTTGCCCCAACTGTTCAGGGTTCAGCTTCTGCAGTCGTATCAAGCTGCGGCCAGCGGAGCATTTTATTGATTATGTCAGGTTGAAGGAACCACTAGTGGTAGATAAATGATATTTGGTATGCAGTTGTATTAGCATTAGTATATCTCATTTCCATGATGATTATTTGGCTGTGCTTTCTCAGTCATGGTCAATTGACTGTGTGAGACTTTTGCATAGTTTACATGTTAGTTAGTGATTTGGTCAGTTTAAGATAAACCCCTTATGGTTAATCAATGTTATTTAGTATGCAGGCCAGTTGTATAAGAATTTGTTCATCTCGTTTCCAAGAAGATTATATGGCCCTGCCTTCTTACATTTAGTCATGCTTCATTGACTTTGGAAATTTTGCATAGTTTTATTGTTAAAAGATTGTGTTAAGGTCAGTGTAAAGGGAACCACTTATGATAAGTCAAAGGTATTCGGTATGCAGTTGTATTAGTATCGGCATTTCTCATTTCTACAGAGGTTAAAATTGGCCTTCCACATTCAGTGATGGTTAATTGACTTTAAGTGGTTTGCATAGTTGACTTGACTCCATACACATACATATAAGAAGTAGAAATCTCATCTGCCAGACTTGACCCCATACACATACATATTGTCATGATTAGAATTATTAAGTAATAAAATGGCATTTTCTTCTGTGCATGTAATTAATCCATTAAAAATAATCATAAATTTCTTCTGGAAAATGTATTAAAAAAGAAATCTTTTTGAAAATATTGCTTTCATACCTTGACATATCCCTTCATTAAAATCTTTATGACTTTTTTTTTGCAGATAAACTTGATTTACCAATTTTACACAACATTTCCACTAGGCTATCATCAGGGAAAATATGGGCCAACATGAGTTGCACAGCTGAACAGAAATCAGGTGCACCTTTATTCTACAGACCAACTTTTGAAGTATTATGGAAATATCCCATCGATGCCAGCTACAATGTTATTCTGAATGGATCAAATTTGATCCTGGAGGAAGTTGACTGCAGCTCAGACAATTCACAGCCATTATTCTGCTCTGTCCGAGAAACAAAGGGAAGCTACTCGGACAGTCAACACTTTTATCCACACACACTCTGTAAGTTATCTATCTCAATGGGTCATAGAATTTAAATCTAGCAAAACATGATTTTTATTTGCATTCTGAATTAAAAAGAATTACAATTATGTATGCCTTGGTTTTTTAGGAAGGAATCTGCATGATTTTCTCAATTATCAAGATTTTGAGAACAGCTGGGTTAAAAAATTTGATGATATACAATCGAATTGAGAAATTATTGATTGATTGTTAGTATTTATACTTTTGTTTATACAGGTACATACAAGCCTGTAACAGTCCCACCGCCCTCTGAAGATAAGAAAAATGGTGGACTTATTGCAGGAGTTGTCATTCTTTGTAAGTACTGAAATAAAATAGGATGTAAATTTGGTCATAAAAAGGACTGAAAATGTAATTCTACATAATATTTGAAATTAATAAATTTAGTATTAGAATATCTTCAGACCATTTATTGCAGTCTATTTTTTTTTAGACAAGATCAATTAATACTTATTTCCTTGAAAATACATTAGAATTGTAATTTAACTTTTTGTTTTTTTTCAGCTCTCCTGTGTGCAGTTTTACTTGTTATAGCATACTGTGGGTAAGTTTTAATGGTACCTTGATAGACTATTGGAATGAATGTGTAAAAAAAGTGCACAGAGGACTTAGTTTAGTATATTTGCATGTGTTGGTTCAATAATTTCCTTAGCATTATAATCTCAAAAAACCTGTTTCATATAATTTTATTTTATATGGTTTTATTTTAACATGATTTACTAGCTACCTTCTTCTTGGTTGAGTATGAACAATAACAACATAATTAGATTAAAAATGCAATTTTTCTAATTCAGGTTTTTATTGTGCTTAAAAATGTGTAAAATTCATTACAAGACTCATCCAATGTCCATCTTTATAGTTGCTAAGAGCACACTTGTAAAGAAACTGTGCCTTATCTGAATAAAAAAATAAGGGGATGAGGTATGATTGCCAATGAGACAACTATCCACTAAAGTTCAAATAAAGTGAATGTAAGCAATTATAGGCAACTGTACAGCCTTAAACAATGAGAAAAACCCATACCATATTGAGACTTCCATTAGACTGGGTAATACATGTGATAATCTCATGTGTGATTGTTGTTTATGAATTATATAAGATAGTCATAGTCAAGTCTACACAAAGAGTGTTAAAGAGAGGGGAAAGATACCATTGGCATATTCAAACTCATAAGTCAAAAACAAACTGACAATGTCAACACTTTATTGATAAAGCTTGACAAAAATTGTCCTATTGCACTTTTAATACGCCTGTCAAATTTTTGACGGGACGTATTATGGTATACAAACGTCCGGCGTCCGTCTGTCCGTCTGTCCGTCTGTCTGTCCGTCTGTCTGTCCGTCTGTCCGTCTGTCTGTCCCTCTGTCTGTCTGGCGTAAACATGTCGCACCGTAACTTGAGAATGACTTATCCAAATTTCATGAAACTTAATATAGTTGTTTCTTATGATGGTCAAACGATCTGTATACTTTTTGGTGAAAATAAGATTAAAACTTTTTGAGTTACGGGACTTAGTAACTAAAACAGGTGTGTGTTTTTTTTCACATGTTGCGCCGTATCTCAAAAACAATTTATGATTATTGCTTAAAACTTTACACACTTCTTAGTTATATTAATCTTAAGATCTGTATACTTTTTGGTGATGATCTCAAAAACGATTTATGATTATTGCTTAAAATTTTACACACTTCCTAGTTATATTAATCTAAAGATCTGTATACTTTTTGGTTTTGATTCAAAATTTTATTTTTGAGATATTGATTTTTTTTTTTTTAAAGGGGGGTTTTCACATGTCGCGCCGTATCTCAAAAACGATTTATGATTACTGCTTAAAATTTTACACACTTCTTATTTATATTAATCTTAAGATCTGTATACTTTTTGGTTTTGATTCAAAATTTTATTTTAGAGATATTGAGTTTTTTGTAAAAAAAAAAGGGGGTTTTCGCATGTCATGCCGTATATCAGAAACTATTTATGCTTATTGCATAAAAATTCACACACAAGACGACGGGCCTGTCATGCGCTCATGGCGCAGCTGTTTATTCACATGTTTATGCTTCAACTTAAAACAGTTTTTATCTAAAAAATGATTTAATTTATTAAAAGGAGACAAATAAATGCCCTTACCTCACCTACTCTTTTTACTATTTTACAGAAAAGATAAAGTAAAAAGATGTTGCCATAGTATGTGTGGATTGTGTAGACGAAGTCGATTTTGTATTTGTAGAAAATGCATGAAAGGTAAGTCAATTAAATGCATAGTTCTTTCATCCAAAAGTAAAATTTGACATCAAATCAAATCATGTCATGCAGATATACATTGTCAAGAAATATAAGTTGATCATTACGTTTGGTCTAGTGACGGGCCAACCAGTAAAACTGCTATAAGGCCTATAAGAATCTATAAAAAATTTTCTAAAAAAGTAGCATAGGCCTGTGGCGTAAAGATGGAATTTTTATTACAAATAATTTTTATACGCCCGTCAAATTTTTGACGGGACGTATTATGTTATACAAATGTCCGGCGTCCGTCCGTCTGTCTGTCCTCTGTCCGTCTGTCTGTCTGTCCGTCTGTCTGTCCGGCGTAAACATGTCGCACCGTAACTTGAGAATGACTTATCCAAATTTCATGAAACTTAACATAGTTGTTTCTTATGATGGTCAAACGATCTGTATACTTTTTGGTGAAAATAAGATTAAAACTTTTTGAGTTACGGGACTTAGTAACTAAAACAGGTGTGTGTTTTTTTTCACATGTTGCGCCGTATCTCAAAAACAATTTATGATTATTGCTTAAAACTTTACACACTTCTTAGTTATATTAATCTTAAGATCTGTATACTTTTTGGTGATGATTCAAAATTTTATTTTTGAGTTATTGAGTATTTTGTTAAAAAGGGGGAGGGGTTTTTCACATGTCGCGCCATATCTCAAAAACAGTTTATGATTATTGCTTAAAACTTTACACACTTCTTAGTTATATTAACCTCAAGATCTGTATACTTTTTGGTGATGATTCAAAATTTTATTTTTGAGTTATTGAGTATTTTGTAAAAAAAGGGGGAGGGGTTTTTCACATGTCGCGCCATATCTCAAAAATGATTTATGATTATTGCTTAAAGTTTTACTCACTTCTTAGTTATATTAATCTAAAGATCTGTATACTTTTTGGTTTTGATTCAAAAATTTTATTTTTGAGATATTGATTTTTATACGACCGCAAAAAAATTTTTGTGGTCGTATATTGGTATGACGTTGGCGTCGTCGTCGTCGGCGTCGTCGTCCGAAGACGCATTAGTTTTCGCACTCTAACTTTAGTTTAAGTGAATGGATCTCTATGAAATTTTACCATAAGGTTCAATACCACAAAAGGAAGGTGGGGATTGATTTTGGGGGTTATGGTACCAACAGTTAAGGAATTAGGGGCCAAAAATTAGCATTTTCTAGTTTCCAGACAATAACTGTGGAAAGGTGTATGGATCTCTCTGAAATTATACTACAAGTTTCCATACCACAAAGGGATGGTTAGGATTTGCTTTGGGGGGTTATGGCTCAAACCGTTTAAGAATTAGGGGCAAAAAAGGGGGAAAAACAAGGTTGTCCTGGTTAATGGACAAATACTTTAGTACAAAACATAATTTAAAGCAGTGTAAGGGAGATAAATCAAATACATCATTGAAATTATCTCCCTTACACTGCTTTTAAATTATGTATAAAGTAATGGTTAATGAACAATTAAGATAATTTAAAACAGTGTAAGGGAGGTAATCCAAATACAACGTTTTGGTTACTTCCCTTACACTGCTTTTAAATTGTGTTTAAAGAAATGCATATTTATAAAGGAAGACCAGTAAAAATATCTGCAAATGTTGCATCTTTTTTTTTTACAACAAAATCCATATGAAAGATTTGACACTATATTTTAAATTCTATTATAAAATAGATTAAGTTAGCACTATGGTAAATTTAAATGGGTAATTATGGTTGCAAACTCCATTGGAAATTTGAATTGAGATTATGACCATATCTTGAGGGAAAGAATTTTTTGGGGAAAAAAAGGGGGGGGGGGGTTTAAAGAAATTGTTGGGGGTCAATTTTTTCTCATTTCAGATTTCAGAAAAAATTAAAAAGAATTATTCTTCAAATATTATTTTTTTTTCAAATTTCAAATATTGAAAAATTTCAAGAAGAAATTTTTAATTGGACAGTATGGCGCATTAGATTTGTAAAATCTTTGACCACATTTATTTATTTGTTATGCCGAATCTAACCGTGTATTTAGATTTTTAATTTTGGGTCCAGTTTTCAAATTGGTCTACATTAAGGTCCAAAGGGTCCAAAATTAAACTTTGTTTGATTTTAACAAAAATTGAATATATGGGGTTCTTTGATATGCTGAATCTAAACATGTATTTAGATTTTTGATTTTTGGCCCAGTTTTCAAGTTGGTCCAAATTGGGGTCCAAAATTAAACTTTGTTTGATTTCAACAAAAATTGAATATATGGGGTTCTTTGATATGCTGAATCTAACCATGTATTTAGATTTTTTATTTGTGGCCCAGTTTTCAAGTTGGTCCAAATTGGGGTCCAAAATTAAACTTTGTTTGATTTCAACAAAAATTGAATATATGGGGTTCTTTGATATGCTGAATCTAACCATGTAATTAGATTTTTTATTTGTGGACCCCGCTATCAAATTGGTTCATATTGAGGTCAAAAGGGTCCAAAATTAAACTTTGTTTGATTTCAACAAAAATTGAATATATGGGGTTCTTTGATATGCCAAATCTAACCATGTATTTAGATTTTTGATTTTTGGGCCCCGTTATCAACTTTGTCCACATTGAGGTCAAAAGGGTCCAAAATTAAACTTAGTTTGATTTTAACAAAAATTGAATTCTTTGGGTTCTTTGATATGCTGAATCTAAACATGTGTTTAGATTTTTGATAATGGGCCCAGTTTTCAAGTTTGTCCAAGTTGGGGTCCAAAATTAAACTTTGTTTGATTTCAACAAAATTGAATATACGGGGTTCTTTGATATGCTGAATCTAACCATGTATTTAGATTTTTTATTTGTGGCCCAGTTTTCAAGTTGGTCCAAATTGGGGTCCAAAATTAAACTTTGTTTGATTTCATCAAAAATTGAATATATGGGGTTCTTTGATATGCTGAATCTAACCATGTATTTAGATTTTTTATTTGTGGACCCCGCTATCAAATTGGTTCATATTGAGGTCAAAAGGGTCCAAAATTAAACTTTGTTTGATTTCAACAAAAATTGAATATATGGGGTTCTTTGATATGCTGAATCTAACCATGTATTTAGATTTTTGATTTTTGGGCCCCGTTATCAACTTTGTCCACATTGAGGTCAAAAGGGTCCAAAATTAAACTTAGTTTGATTTTAACAAAAATTGAATTCTTGGGGTTCTTTGATATGCTGAATCTAAACATGTATTTAGATTTTAGATTTTTGGCCCAGTTTTCAAGTTTGTCCAAATTGGGGTCCAAAATTAAACTTTGTTTGATTTCAACAAAAATTGAATATATGGGGTTCTTTGATATGCTGAATCTTACCATGTATTTAGATTTTTTATTTGTGGGCCCGCTATCAAATTGGTTCATATTGAGTTCAAAAGGGTCCAAAATTAAACTTTGTTTGATTTCATCAAAAATTGAATTATTGGGGTTCTTTGATATGCCAAATCTAACTGTGATTTTAGATTTTTAATTTTGGGTCCCATTTTTAAATTGGTCTACATTAAGGTCCAAAGGGTCCAAAATTAAACTTAGTTTGATTTTAACAAAAATTGAATTCTTGGGGTACTTTGATATGCTGAATCTAAACATGTGTTTAGATTTTTGATTATGGGACCAGTTTTCAAGTTTGTCCAAGTTGGGGTCCAAAATTAAACTTTGTTTGATTTCAACAAAAATTGAATATATGGGGTTCTTTGATATGCTGCATCTAACTATGTATTTTGATTTTGGACATTGGACCATAATAGGTAAATTAAAAAAATTGAAGTTCTTAGACCACATTCTTTCTGTGTCAGAAACCTATGCTGTGTCAAATATTTAATCACAATCCAAATTCAGAGCTGTATCAAGCTTGAATGTTGTGTCCATACTTGCCCCAACTGTTCAGGGTTCGACCTCTGCGGTCGTATCAAGCTGCGCCCAGCGAAGCATTTTATTTTTTTTTAAAAGGGGTGTTTTCACATGTCGCGCGGTATCTCAAAAACGATTTATGATTATTGCTTAAAATTTTACACACTTCTTAGTTATATTAATCTAAAGATCTGTTTTCTTTTTGGTTTTGATTCAAAATTTTATTTTATAGATATTGAGTTTTTTGTAAAAAAAAAAGGGGGGTTTTCGCATGTCACGCCGTATGTCAGAAACTGTTTATGCTTATTGCATAAAAATTCACACACAAGACGACAGGCGTATCATGCGCTCATGGCGCAGCTGTTTATTTCTTAAAAGAAACAGGTAGAAAGAAGTTTTGATTTTGACATAAAATAGGCATCACAATTATAAAAAACTGCCTTAATTTTATCATCTTGGTATTCTTGTCATTTCTTGTCTTGTCAGTAACTTTTTTGTTAGAGAAAATGGTTATACAATCATTGAGTAATATTTTCAAAAGCTTACACCAAAAAGTTGTGATAGGCTAACAATGTCCTAAACAACGGAAATCCAACCAATGATGAAACGTTCTTTACTAACAATGAAACTACCCATAGTCCTTAAATTTTAAAATGTGAGATATGTTGAAGAAGTTAGAATTTTTATTCACATTTGTCTCAAATACTACTGAACAGAATGACTTATAATATAGTACACAGCTTGACCATGTTGAGTTGTAATGTGTAAGTACTTTTCAGATCTTTCAGACACCTACTTCTTGTTTGATGATACTTTGAATTTTTAAATATGTTGAATGAACTTTTTCTCGCATTGTATTTAACAGAATGACTTCATATTTTGTCAGTAGCTTTGCAGAAATGGGTAGTGAAGTATGAGCACTTGACTGATCTGTCAATCACCTACTTCCTGGTTTCCAACAAATTAACTCTTGTTCTGAAATACAGTCAATATATTTTCTAAAATAGGATAAAAACAAAACCATGCCTAAAATTGATCCACCCAAGAAGAAAATCAGAATGCAGAATATTACTATCTTTATAGACAACATACTAATCAATTAATTTATTTACAATTTTCCAGATGACCTTGACTTTGACATAAGTGATGAGCCACGTTTTCAGATACCACATGGCGAATTTGGTCGACATGATGATCTTGACTGGAGGCAGATCCTAGATCTGTATTCTGGAGATCACCCACCAACAGTTCCACCACCAAGACTAATCTTATCCACCCCACGACCAGACCAATACCTCCCACCACCACCACCAAGACCAGAGGCTCTACAAGGGACATCATCATCTGATAATACAGTACAATTTGAAAATGATGGTAAGGGACTAGTTATATATAATAAAGCATGTTTCCTTTTTTGCTTCCCTAAGTTTTTGGAGAAGTACAAAAAAGGAGAAATTTAATATTTGATTGAATTGATTCAACCTGATTAACAGAGATTGATCCAAGACCTTTGGTTTGTACGGTAAATGTATAATGATAAGTTATACAACATGTATGAGTTTTGTTCTGCTTGACATACTTTTTTTTACCTTAGTTTTCAGCAATCCTAGTGATATTATGTTGATATTTGATATTAAAAAGAGAGGCAAAAGATACCAAAGGGACATTCAAACTCATAAGTTGAAAATAAACTGACAACACCATGGCTATAAAAGAAAGAGACCAACAGACAAATAACAGTACAAAACACAACATGAACCCCACCAAAAACTGCTTGTGATCCCAGGTTCTCCGGAAGGGTAAGCAGATCCTGCTTCACACGTGGCATCGGTCCTGTTGCTCATGTTTTCCTTTGAAATGAGTCATTACAGATGAGATGTGATTTTTGTTTAATTTGACTTACTTTTTTTCCCTTAAAATTAGAAGATTCTTCCTTTTGTCGAGCAAAATGTTAGTGTTTCAGCATTTTTTTAAGAGTGAATTTTTTTTCTCAGCTGGACAAGTTGAGACTAGGTATTGGGAATCCTTCTTAAACTTTTTCTGAATGGAGTTGCAAAAGGTTTTTTTTGTACTTTGTTCTATAGTTGGTAAATATCTCATTTGCAATCATTCCACATCATAAAATTATTTAAATACTTATATATGGAGCTAAAAGGAAAAACTTATCATATGAAATATGGAGATTTTTCCCTAAATTTAATCTATCTTTTATCTTTACTCTGTTTGTTTGTGGCAAAGTTAGTCGGTAAGATACATGTATGTGAGTTCATTGTTATGTATTGAATTATATTTGGTTTTAGAAAGTGGTATAGATAATCCCGATTTCCATGATGATGATGAAGATACCGTAAATGCTGATGACATTACTGTGTCAGATATTAGTACATTAGGGGCAACAGGGGTTGACCATTCAACGCTTGTAAGAGAAGTGGAGACATGTAAGTTTTTTTATTATATTTTACATTCAAACATAGAAAGTTGTATATAAATCTTGCAAGGGCAAGGTTGCTTGAAAATTTTGTTATCTCAAATGTAGTTTTAATTATTTATTGAAAGTAAGAATCATGAACTTTGAACTGTCATACATGGATTTTTCATGGCTAGGGTTATGCTATAAATTGATAACATAATTACAACACCAAATATTCAAATAGTTGAAAATTAATATTAATCTTTATTTACATTGCGTTGATTCTGAAAGTACCATTTAAACCTTTTTATACTCTTTTTAAAAGAAGAAATTGTTATTACAAATGTCATCTCTGATCAATTTTCCCTCAATTTCAATAGATATGATTTAACACAGCAACATCATTCCAAACTGACAGATAATTATAATAAGCCCTGTATATTTTTACAGCATTAACAAAAGTCATCTTCATATCAGCAAAGCATGAAAAAGATATAGTAAACCAGAAGATGACTTTGCTGATGTTAGGATTTTAAGCCAATCAGAAAGTTTCTTTTGACTTTTAGAGTAATATTATGATTATCTTTTAAACAGGTTTAGCCCATTTAAAGAAGCTGTTGAATTCTACTGAGAACCAGGTTCAAGTGAGAAGAGACAACATCATTGAAGATCTCATCAATATATACACTGATCCCACAATCCTTCAGTCATATTTACATATCAACGTTTTGGGTGAACCTGGGTCAGATTGGGGTGGGGTCAGCAGGGATATATTTACCTCATTCTGGAATGAAGCCACTGTGTTGTATTTTAAAGGGAATGATGTACATGTGCCTTATTTACCTCCACATAAAATGGAGGAGGAGAGAAACTTTCTGTTGATGGGACGTATTCTTGCTCACAGTACTGCAATCCTTGGTTATATTCCAATATCTATTTGTAAAAGTTGTATGATGGTGACAATATTTAATACAACTCATATTGAATCCAATACTCTATTGGAAGATTTTCTGCTATTTGTTGATCTCAAAGATAGAAACCTAATCCAAAGTGCTTTAAATGACTTCTCTGGTTTATCTGAGGACCAAAAACAGGATCTCCAGAATTTGTTTTACCAGTTTGAGATGGGCTGTATACTTAAAGAGGAAACTTTCCGTGACCAGCTGTTGAATATGGCAAGAAATGAACTGGTTTTAAAGCCAAGATCTCTTTGTGAAAAATTACGACAAGGAATTCCAGAAGTGCATTTTGATCAATTTTGGTCACAGATGACAATAGATCATATTAGTATACTTCATGCAAGATTAAAACCAACACCTGAAAAAGTTGTGAAATGTTTAAAATTAGCTGAACCATTGAGGTTATTGGACATGAGAAGAAGAAAAGTTTTCCAGTATTTTAAAGATTTCATTGAACAGCTTGGAGATGAAGATTTACAAAAATTTCTACAATTTATCACTGGACAAAATTGTGTGCCTAAACGTACTATCTCCGTCCAATTTTCTAATCTAAGTGGTGCTGAAAGGAGACCAGTAGCACATACATGTGGCTACCTGATTGAAATTCCTGAAGCTTATGACAATTATGCGGATTTTGAAACAGAATTTAGGAATGTGTTACAATCAGACATTTTGAGATTTGATGTACAGTAAATTTAAAATTGTTCTGTATGATTTAATTTATTTGTTTTGTATAATCACCCTCACAGCATTTAATGCTATCCCACTGTTTTCTCATTACATCATAATGTAGTCCGTCCAGATCATCACATCATAAGAGTTTACAGTAAAGGATATTATAATTTTTGATTAAGGGAAAATTCTTTTTTTCTACCTCAATATTTTTGGAAACAACTTCACACTTGAATCAGGTGCAGTTAATTTTTATTTCATGTTTAATGCACAAATAATTTAGAATTTAAGAAAATCTTTATCTAAAAGTTCAGACACATTACAATAATTTTCTATTGATAGTCAAATTGCTACTTAAGTCAAATGATTCTGATTTTTCATTTATTGTTCAGCATGATAAGAGAAAACTGTATTTAGGAGATGTTATAATTTCATCCAGTTTAGCCTTTCAGAAGCATTCATAATGTTTGTAGGAGTAATACCACCAAACATGTTCTATTATTCATTTGTAAAATCAAGAATTTTCAGAACAATTATTATCTTTATTTAGAATTAAGTCACATTCTTTAAGTATGAACTCCATGAAATGTATGTTCTATCTTTAATACACAAACATGCATGTGTAGTCATATTTTTGTTTATGTACTGTTTTAATATAAAACCATAAGTATCATCATTGTTTTGGTGGTATTACACCTGTATATAGATCAGTTACATGGAGTTGTTGAAAAGTTATATGTTTTTATGATTGCTTTGTTTAATACATTGCCTTGGCCATTAAATATTTAGAAACTTTTAGTTATCCTGATCTTAATTATGTGGATTCAAAAAATGAAAAGTTCAAGATCTGAATTTGACATTTATGGACCAGAGACAAATGAGAGATGTCACAAAGTATATATAATAAATGCCAATCAGATAAGTTGAGAAATATTAATAGACAATCCCATATTATTTGTACATCTTTGTTGGTGTGTCTGTGATATTATTTCTGTTTTATAAACATGTGCATGTCTTTTTTGACAACAGATAATTTTAGATTGATTTGAAGATGCATGATTTTATTGGTATTCAACATCATTTTCCTATTTTAAAAGAAATTTAGATAATTTCCTGAACAGAAACTATAATAATAGAAAACTGAATAATTACATTTTCAAATTTTCCTATATTTTCTAGTATCTGTAAAATATGACATATTGTTGAATCCTGTGTGTTCATTTCATTCTGCTGGTTACATTGTTGTGGTAAGCAGAAAAACTGCTCCAAGATGCTGAAAGTCCATCGTCTTATCGTAGCAGTGATAAAAGCAACTAAGGATATAGTTGTTTTATTTGACTCCTAAATTTGTTCTGGAGGGTACCAGTAACTACTGAAAAGATGTGTGGGCATATGGGGAAGAGGGTTTTAGCCATATTTTTATTCATATTTACCTGATTATTCATAAAAAAACTGAATGATAATGATGAATTGGTTTTTAATGTCCAGTGGCAAATATTACATTATAATAGTAATAAAACAAACAGAGGAATGACAATTTGTGATGAATGGCTGTTTAATGTCAATGGCAAATTAATTGTATACCACAGGAGAACATGTTAACATGTTAATGTGAAATGAATATGAATATGAACCTTGCTTTGCACTAGCCTGGCATGATGATCTAGGGGGGTAGGGGTTAAAACCCATGCATGACATTCCCTACTCTAGCATCATTCATAAAAACTGAAAAGGTCAGTTATGATCAAAGGTTAAGTTTTCTCCCCTTTCTTCACTTGATTTTCAACTGTGGTTTATATCTCGAAAGAAGATAGTTGTAAAAATTACTATCCAAAGAATAATAGTGATGAACACGAGTAATGGAAAATATTTTATTTGAATGTATTGTCTTCACCTGGGGTTGTTTAAAAGAATCACACAACATTTATTTGTATATATAAATGGCTTGGAGGGCAAGTGAGATAATTTTGAAATAAAGAAAATGAAAGTACTACATATATGTTTAATCATGTTGTTTATAAAAATTGTGATTTATAAGTTAATGATTTTATATTTTATTTAATTTTAATCCTTTGTTGAATATAACACTGTGACAATGAAAAGATTGTAAATATACATTGATGTGAATGTTTTATGAAGTTTATTTGTAGATAAAATGTGTTAAAAGAGATTTATTAGAATAGAAATGTTTAGATTTTTTAAAGAAAATTATTATTAAGCTGCTGTGTACTAGTCACAAATAATATTTATTATGGAACATTCTTCAAGAATTACAGTGCATGACCCAATTAAGTTCCAAATCAGATTTCTGTCTATATAATATTTAAAACTAAATTCAAAAGTAATTTGGTTTGAAACTGATAAAATCCTAACCTAATATTCAGAACTGTCTACAGGTTCTAAAATTTTCTGTAAAATGATATCTAGAAATTATTGTGATTAAGAGTAGTTGGTCTATGAAGTCAAAACAAAGGTGTTTTAGCTTTAGACATCAGTAGATTAAAAAAATTCAATCAGAATCAGACCAAATTCAGCAATATTTTTTAAAAAGATTAAAATTTTATGTGAAATGTAGAAACATTTCATTTTTTGGGACTTAATGATTGCCTTGTTTTATTTGGTGTCTTATTTACTTATCACAAACGACCAGAACTGCATGTTTTGTTGTCTCATTGCTGATTTTGTAAGAAGTTTTAAAGAATTTTTTAAAATATATTATGTGATAGTTGTTGTTTAGATAATGTTTTTTATTAAACTGTTTCAAATTCAGCAATCAGACCTTTGATATAATCGGTAGTGATGGTATCTTAAGTTTTTATTTGAAGTGTATAATAATTTATGACTAGTTTATTATTCTAAATGATTGTGGTTGTGTTAACATGGTGTTCTTGACCAATATGGTAGATAATTTTGTTAAATTTATTGATTATGAATTTGAAATGTTAATTTCTGGTTGTGACTTCATTGAAATTACATTCCTTAATAGTTTAGTATACAGACAAGATGTGAGAAAAGTAACACAGTGATTATAAACCTCTTTGCATTTGTAGATTTGAAAAAAATAGAATATATTTTAGTGCAATACTTCTCTGTCTCATCATTATTCATAGATCAAGAAACATTTTAGTTGTTGTATTAATTTACACCTTTATCAAACCATTCCTCATTCTATGTTATAATCAGTGGTTTTAATTTGCTGTTAAGAAATTGTTTTCTGAATTTTTACACAGATGTGTGTTGTTTTGCCTTTAGTTTTGTGTGTCTGTGTGTAATTTTAATCAAATGTTGAGTGATTTATTTGGTATTAGGGGTCAACTTTTTTTTACCAAGATATTTAACACTTTTATGACATGTTAAGAAGTTATTGATTTGTTACTTAATTTTAATAAAACAATAGTTCCTATTAACTTGAAGTAAACATACAGTCTTTACTTTCCTGAAAGCTAAAATATTACAGGAAATTCATTATTTTTGTCATTTATGATATGCATTCTTTAGACATGATGTATTGAGAATTACCATTGGCTGTCTCTGTAGACATGTTTCTTGGCAACATGTACAGTGACATAAAGTTGCTAGCCTCTATGTCATTTGATCTCTAATGGAGAGTTGTCTCATTAGCAATCATACCACATCTTCTTATTATTGTTATATTGAATATGCCTTGATTGGTTTTCTTCTAACTTTATCAGATCATTAGGAAAGACGGTCATTAAGGTTTGTATACTTTATTGGCATTCATACCACATCTTCTTATTTATATTTATGACAACTTTTGTTATTGTAGTTCCAGAATTACAAACTGTGAATACATCAATATTTTTCTTTCCACCTTTGTAAAACTCACTTGAGCTAACATCTACAAAATTTTGAAAAATATTCGCTTACATGATAAATGAAATTGCAAATTCTTTTGGGAAAAAAAGTGTTTTGTCATAACAAAAGAATGGCTTATAAATGCATAGGGTGCTCTTGTTTGATAAAACTTCATTATCATTATTTAATTTTACCAGTCATATCAGTGTGTGTCTTGTAATTTCACATCATTTTTACAATCCATCACTTCATTTTGTGCCTTGTATATTATGTGTTCACTCAAATGGTACTATGATAATAAAATCTCCCAGCTGTGACATTTAGCACCAGTAGGATGCACAGTTCTTTTGTTTTCACCTAAATAAACGAAAAAAATTGTGTACAATTAAAGATACTTTTTCCTTATTAAGAAACAAAAGTATCTGGAGTCCAACCATTCCCCCCCTAAATATGAGCAAAAAGGTTTGCTTAGTTGAATAAGTAATGATAAGGTCATTATGTTTAAACGTAATTGTTCATTTTATTTTATATTGACATATTCCACATTAAAAAGTGGTATATATTAAATTGAGATAGATACCCAACAATAGAATAAATCAGATAAGACGTCAAGAATCAATAACAGTCTTCAACAATAAAAAAGAGTCTCTCATTTTTCAAGTTCTTAATAAAAGGGAGCTACTGACGCTTAAGTTTTGTAAAAATCTTTGTGAGCATAAGATATAGAAAAAGAGTTCCAAGAAATATTGGTATTCAATAATTTAGCATGATAAGGTATGAATGTATTACACTTTGTGATGGCTTCATTATCAAAACAGCCTGACAATAACATGTATATTAAATCTTATTTAAGTGCAATTTCACAAATAGCAATTGTTAACAGTTGAATTTGTCTTGAATTGCACATCTCAGTGTTTGATTCATAGTTTGTAGTTATATGTTTGAATATTAGAGCTTTAACTTGATAATGTTAAATGCTTCACTTGTTAACAGTTGTATTTTTATACAAATGTATTTGTTTAACTACACTGTGTAGATGTTTGAAAGAATTAAATGTTGCTTTTTAAAAACTTTTGACTTATCATTATATTCGTTATTGATAAAAAGGAACACGCTTAGTTGTGCTAATAAACAACAGCTAGAATGAGCAGAGATGTGTTAAAAATATTATTAAAAGTTTATTAGTTCCACCATAGTAGGACTAGTTGATGCATAGCAACTGAAATATTTATTTCATTTATGACAGGTGTATTTACATGTGAAATAAAAGATTATTCATAAACATCTCCTTTCAAAATCAAACCTCAACTTACCTCTGACTATTACTCTGCAAAACAAAGTTTCATACCTTTCATAGTTATTCTACTAAAGCTTATGGACTACTATTACTTATTTCTAAAATTCCTGGATAGTTAGGTTGTTATTTTAAAAAGTTTAGAAAAACTACTGAGCATGTTGTTAAAAATACCTTTGTTGATCTCATCTGTTTCTTGTAAGAAGAAATATAATTTTGTTTTGTTAAGATCTTAGGAAATCGAATGCTTTCACAGTCACGCTAGTGATCACTTACCACTACTAATGATTAGTTTGTATAAAAAAATCTATGCTTTTCAAATCTGCTTGGATATTTTATGATCTTTAAATGTTTTGTTACTTTCACACAACGTATTAATGTCCAAACAAAGAAGATAAACCAAGGGTCAAGTGTGAAGTCATCCCTTCAGAAATTTAAAAAACGCCATCTGGATTTAGTTGACCTTTATGGAATTTCTGTTTTGCAGACGACAGATATTTTCTAATTTTCCTAACCACTAACCTGTACTCTTTTCCTTGCATATGACATCACATAATTAAAATGTCCATACAATTTGAAACTTACATAAGCAACACTGCCGGTCCCACTAGTAGGGCAGGATCTGCTTACCATTCCGAAGCACATAAAACTACCCCCGTTTGATTGGTGGGGTTGGTGTTGCACTCTCTTGAGTGTTCTATGTTGTGTTTTGTAAACTGTTGTTTGTCTTTTGGTCATTAACCGGATTTTCGAAGTAAAAATCGGTTATTGATTTGTCAATGTACGGCGGGCGGCTGCCAAACAGTGTCCGTTCATTTACATAAAAACGCTTTGAAGAATTTTTTTCAAATTTAGATATGTTGTTTCCTGTGACTAAATGAAGGTCAAGTTCAATTTTCACGATTTTAGCTTTTCTCGTTAGTCAGTTATAGCCCTTTTCCAAGAATTCAATTTTTGATGAATTAGTCCATTTATGTACGAAGGGAAACAACTCATTTTTTAAAAGATTTTTAAAAGACATTGTATTAATGATAAATGACATTTTGGATTTTTTTTTCTTTTCTTTGGTACATTGTTTGAAGAATTTTGTGTTAGGTTTGTTTGTTATTTTGTATAAACTAATTTTCTGAATGCTATATTTGTTGTGTGTGTTAATTTTAATTTTTACTTGATCCTGTTTGGGGTTCCAGATTTGCAAATTCATTAGATAATAATCTATTTTTATTAAAGGATATATTTCATTACATTACATTGTGTAGATAAAGTTGTAGAATTTCATAGATTTATTTGAAAACTATTAATTATATTAGATTATAATTTGAAAATAAATATAACATCATATCTAAGTTTAGAGAACTATAGTTAAATCATATTTAATTTTAGATTTACATTATTGGTTCATGGAAATAAAGTTTGAGTTATTTCCCTTTGAACAGAAATGGTTTAACTAAGAAGTATTTCATCAAAAATTGAATTCTTGGGGTTCTTTGATATGCAGATTCTAGCAATGTACATAGATTCTGGATATTGGACCATAATAGGTAAATGTCCAATTTCAAATTTTTCTATTCTTTGACCACATTTATTTTGTGTCACAAACCTATGCTGTATCAAATATTCATAATCCAAATTCAGAGGTGTTTCAAGCTTAAATGTTGTGTCCATACTTGCTCAACTGTTTAGGGTTCGACCTCTGCAGGAAAATCCGGTTTGCTGTCTCTCTGACAGCCTCTAGTTTTTTCTTATTTTTCCATTGCATTGTTAGTTTGTCTTTGACTAACGAGTTTGAATATCCCTTTGGTATTTTCCTCCTCTCTTCTACTCTCTCAATATCTACTTATTCATTCTTCTATTTTTATATTATAATCTTGTTCAGCCGATAGGCAGTGCAGTTCCAGTTTATATTCTTGTTTAATTTTCTCAAATCAATAGAATTATTTTCTTTGAATTCTGATAAAGGACACATTATCAAAATACTTCCCTTTTAAGCACTAAAAAAATGCATGAACTATTTATAATGTTTTGCACGTTTTCTACGAGGATGCTACTGATTATAAGTACACTAGAAAACGTTTTGGTATAAAGCTTAATTGAAAAAAATCAAAATATAACCTGAATTTCTATGTTCTTTACTGTTTGCTTCAATATTCATCTCTCTCCGCTTGTTGACCGATGCAATTTACTTATTTGTTTTAAGAGCATACATTTATACATTTTTTGCCCTGGTTGCATAGAAGCAACGGGCTTAAAATAATGTGATATCAGGTGGGCTGGAATAATTTGGTACCTACCCTTCTATCAACTCCTTTAGTTTCAACCTAGAACGCGGAATTTTTCTAAAGAAATTGCAGTTATTCAAGTTGTGCTCCTTCTTTGATGGAATTGTTTGAGGAATTACACTTTTCCAGACTTGCAAACTAAGTCATTTTCATCAAAATGTACGACTGACGGTACTAATTTTGTTGTATCAATCTTTGCATTTTTCATCTAAGATCGTTGAAACCTCACAGAGACCTTGCACACATATTATAGTTGTGAATCTGCTATTACATAATTGTTCGAGATTTTTTCCATTTTGCCTGAATAAGGAGCTCAGTTTTTGCAGGAAAATTTTCAAAAGATTGTATCATTTTTGTGGAATGAATTCCTTCTACAGTTCCAAACTCAGATCCTTGAAATTTCATGAACAAATTGTACACATATTACAGTTGTGGACCTGCAATCACAGAATTGTTTGCGGATTTTCCAAAGTTTACATATTTTTTAGCAAAATTTTCTTGTATGTTTGTGTAGTAAACACTTTCTTAAGTTTTCAACCCAGTTCATAGAAATATTGCACACATACATGTATTTAAGTTGTGCACCTGCCAGTATGAATTGTTTGAGGAAGTAGTTCCCCATGGTTTCCAAACTTGGGGCCTTATTTGTATCCTTTAGAAAAAATATTCAAGTGATGGTACTAATTTGTGTAAATTAACTCATACAGTTTTTTACCCAATCACAAAACGATTGCACATGAATTGAAGTTATGCATATGATTTTAATATGGAATTGTTTCAGAATATTTTCCTTATCTTTTTAATTTGGAACTTGGTAATTTTTCGACAACTTTTTAGCTCACCTGGCCCGAAGGGCCAAGTGAGCTATTCTCATCACTTGGCATCCGTCGTCGTCGTTAACTTTTTACATTTTGAACTTCTTCTAGAGAACCACTGAATGGAATGAACCCAAACATGGCATGAATGTTCTTTATGAGGTGTTGACCAAGTGTTGTTACTTTGAAGCCGATCCATCATCCAAGATGGCCGCCAGCAGGGAACTTAGTTTAACATAGGACCCTAAGGGAAATACATACAAATGTCTTCTTTTAGAGAATCACTGAATGGAATGAAACCAAACATGGCATGAATGTTCCTTATGATGTGTTGACCAAGTGTTGTTACTTTGAAGCCGATCCATCATCCAAGATGGCTGCCAGCAGGGGACTTAGTTTAACATAGGACCCTATGGGAAATACATACAAATGTCTTCTTTTAGAGAACCACTGAATGGAATGAAACCAAACATGGCAATAATGTTCCTTATGAGATGCTGACCAAGTGTTGTTACTTTGAAGCCGATCAATCATCCAAGATGGCCGTCAGCGGGGGACTTCGTTTAACATAGGACCCTATTGACAATACATTCAAATGTCTTCTTTTAGGAAACCACTGAATGGAATGAACTCAAACATGGCATGAATGTTCCTTATGAGGTGTTGACCAAGTGTTGTAACTTTGAAGACGATCCATCATCCCAGATGGCCGCCAGCAGGGAACTTAGTTTAACATAGGACCCTAAGGGAAATACATACAAATGTCTTCTTTTAGAGAACCACTGAATGAAATGAAACCAAACATGGCATGAATGTTCCTTATGAGGTGCTGACCAAGTGTTGTTACTCTGAAGCAGCTCCATCATTGTTTTCATCCAGGTTCTTGAAAATTAAAAGAATGATTGCACAGAGGTCGAAGTAGTGGTCATTTCATTATTATGTTGTTAAAAGATTTTCCCTCTTGATCACTTTCTATTTCTTTGTATTTAAATGTTTATTTCAACTGATTAGCAATCGTTTAAGTCTAATTTTGTGGTACCCGTCAATTTGAATCTTTTTTTTTAGTCCCCTACCGACGAAGTCGAAGGGGACCTTCGGTTTGCACTCCATCTGTCTGTCTGTCTGTCTGTCCATCCGTCAGTCCGGGAAATCAGTTTTCCACACTTTTTTTCTTAGTGCTTGAAGATGTTGATTTGATATTAAGTGTAATGTTTTATCATGACAAGTTACAGATAAAGTTTGAATTTTGTTCTAGTCTGACGATTTTGTGCAGAGTTATGGTCCTTGCACTTAGAAAATTCACTCATATAATCAGTTTTCGGCACTTTTTTTGTCATACTTGAAGATATTGAATTGATGATTGGTATATAGTTTTATCATGACAAGTTACAGATCAAGTTCGAATTTTGGTCAGGTCTTATGATTTTGTGCAGAGTTATGGTCCTTTGACTTAGAAAATTCACTCAAATAATCAGTTTTCCTCACTTTGTTTCGTCATGCTTGAAGATATTGACTTGATATTTGTTATATAGTTTACACCATGACAAGTTATAGATCAAGTTAGCATTTTGTTCCAGTACAATGAATTTTTAACCGGTAGGGGACTATGTATTGCCAGGTAATACTCACAGAATGCTTGTTTAATTTCCTTTTGTAAATACAACAAAAAAGCTAACATTACG